AGGGCGCACGTGGGAGGCAACCAATTGAAGTGTCTCTTTCACATCAATGATTGTTTATTTCTCTCTCTTTTTCTCTCTCTCCCTCCTTCCCTTCCACTTTCTCTTAAAAATTAATGGAAAAAATATCCTCAGCTGATGATTAACCAAAAAAATTAACAGGGTTCATTAACTTGATTTCACTGAAAATAAGATTAATTTTCAATAGCTCCTATTTGCTGGGCTCTGGGCTAAGTTTCTGTGTACACTGAATACACATCTAATCTTCACACAACTCTGAAAGATTAACAGTACTGTACTAGAGGACCAATGCACGAAATTCATGCACTCGGGGGTCCCTCAGCCCAGCCTGCACCCTCTGGCAGCCTCGCCAGCAGGGTAGCCTGGGCCTCCCTCTGCAAGACGATTGGTCATGGTTGGTGATGGGGGGAAGCCTCAACCAATCGCATGGCACCCGCCTTGGCTGGCCTGGCCCCAGTGCATGTCATAGCATGGTTGTCCAGACAGTCATTCAGCTGTTCAGCAGTTTGGTCGATTTGCATATTAAGCTTTTATTATTATAGTTTCCATTTTAAAAATTAAGAAACTAAAGCTTAGAAAGTTCAGATAGCTAATAAATCAATAAGACCAAAAATTCATGCCCAAGTTTCACCAACCACAAATTCCATATTCTTTCTACTATGCACCATTAAGTGAAATATTTTACTTTATATACGTTAGTGTACAATTCGGTATTGAACTAGGTAATAATCACTCAGAAATAACGTTATTTACATGACTGCACTGGTCAGTAAATGATACTGTAAAGATAATCATGATGCCCAACCGATATGGATCAGTGGTTGAGCGTTGAGCTATGAACCAGGAGGTCAGGTTTCAATTCCAGGTCAGGGCCTAGGTTGCAGGCTTCATCCCCAGTGTCGGATGTGCAGGAGGCAGCCTGAGCAATGATTCTCTCTCATCACTGATGTTTCTATCTCCCTCTCCCTTCCTCTCTAAAATCAATAAAAAAAAATAGTTTTAAAAAGATAATCATGCATCTTAATATTTCATAGTATACTATTCACATTAGTTTTTGCTAAGAGAATTTGTTCAACAATTCAGAAAATGCCAGATATTATATTTGGTACTGAAATGAATAATACCTGTCTAAATACTCTGTCAAAGCTGGAGATTTGGAAGAAGTCTCCAATTATTTTGATCACATTATCTTTAAAGCAATAAACCTGATAATACACTAAAATATATGGACAGCAATTCACCTATCAATTATATGCAAGTACAACTATTATAAAGAATGAAATTAAAGTAAAAATAAAAATTCTAATATTTGTTCCACAGCCCAATACATATTTTCACATATCTCGAGATGTGCACTCTACTTTGGGTACCACTGTCTTAGAAAACAGCTTCACATTTCAATTCAGGAAACAGATATCTACCCATTTCATGAAATTGATAATATCTATTTTCTGAAAGACCAGAAATGTAAAATTGAGACATATAAAGGACCTCTCTCTGCACAAAGTAGACCTTCAATATATATTAGTTATAATTAAAAATGATTACTGTACCTTAACATAAAAGTATGTCACCTTCACATTTACTACTTACAAAATTGGACTCAGAAACAATGGATAGTACTTGTGTTTAAACAAAATGACAACTTTCTGAAATTACATGTAAAAATGGCAGGGAAGCCCTAGCTGGTTTGGCTCAGTGGATAGTGTTGGCCTGTGGACTGAAGAGTCTCGGGTTCGATTCCGGTCAGGGGTACATGCCAGGTTGCAGTTACGGGCTTAATCCCCAGTAGGGGGCATGCAGGAGGCAGCCCATCAATGATTCTCTCTCATTATTGATGTTTCTATCTCTCTTTCCCTCTTCCCTCTTCTCTGAAATTAATAAAAATATATTTAAAAAATAATAAAATAAAAATGGTAGGGAAAACATTTACCAAAAATATCCAACTCTTAACCTCGAGTTGATTTCTGTAGAATATATAGGAAAAAAATCAGAAAATTGTTTGAAAGTTAGAAAGATTATTTTATGGTTTGGCAAATCTTTTAGAGATTACCTGACTTTTAATACTTAACAGTTGGGAAAGGAAACAGGAAGAATAATTGTAAAGGAAGAATACGTTTGGTTTACATAGGTTTTCTGGCTTTGTGATGAAGATAAACATTTCTGAAAAATGAGAAGTGGCATTAATTGTACAGATTCTGTTTTCTGGATCAGCATAAAGGATAAAATTAATTTAATATTAGTATTTGATTTGTTTTAGCCATAGTGGGGACATGGTATCCAAATGACCCCACACTTAGACCTCTTGCCAATTATACCACTGACTTTCTTAGGCTTTAATCTTTAAAACCTGGGCCAATGAGACTTTTGTTCTACCTACTTATGCCTACTGAATAATCTAGTTTTATATTTAGTCTCATGTCCCTGCTAGAATACAAGTCCTACAAAGTCAGGAAAAAACTTTTTTTAATCCCTGTTTTATCCCTAGTGCCTAGAACATCTGGCACAGTTAAACACTCAATATTGATTTAAAGAATGAAGCCTCATATCCTTCTGCACACCACAAGGCCTCTGAAAGCAGAAGTAAGGGATGAGCTTGTATGTAGATTACTGCTTTCTCTGCCAAGCTCAAGTCCTCCTTTAGAAGTCAAGAGCAGCCCAGATACTACAAGACTGATCCCTGCAGACAACCATTGGGTCAAGATAGGGTCTCTGTTTTTCTCTATGTATATGAATGGAATTACTAAAAAGTAAAATTTGTGGTTTTGAAAATAAAACAAAACAAGAATAAAGTCAAAGTTGATTATTGAAATACTGAATAAAATAGACGAATGGCTGTAAAGTCCTACTAAGAAAAGAGAGAAATAACATTAGGATGAAAAGGAAATTTAAAACTACAACTAGGTACTGAGAATTATTGGAATACTGATACAAGTTTATATCAATAACTTTTTAATCTAGATAAAGGAGTTGGTATGCTAAAAATTTCCAATTTCCAAAATCAACTCAAGAAAAAATAGAAAAATATTATGAAATCAATAACCCTATTACAAATACAAATATTTTTCAAAGATCGACCACTAAATAAGCTCTCAAGCTTAATTTTATAGGTCAGTTGTGTACAACTCACAAAGATCAGATGATTCCGATGTGATTCTCATTATTCTACAGCACAGGAAAAAAAATGATCGAAAACTTCCAATTAATTTTTCAAAAATAACATATAACCCAAATTCCAAGAGAGAATAAAGAAAAAATTATTTTTAATTCTCATGAACAGAGACATAAAATCTTGAATAAAATATTTACAGCACAGCAAACAGGTTTATTACTGTGCGATGAAAAATTATGACACCTTTCTCTTAAGTTTCTTCATCTGTTCTATTTTTTCCACTTCAATTTCCTTACTGTGTTTATTATACTATATTGTTTTTCATTTCCCTACCAGATTGTAATGCTTGGATTTTATTTACAGGATTTTTATTTTATTCACCGCATCTACTGCCTGGCATATATGCAGGCTCTATTTATTGAATGAACAGTCTTATGAAACAGGTATTCCTGTTAGCAAGATTTTACCTTATAAAGAGGCTGGAGCCATGAGAATCTGCCTATGGTCACTCAGTACAAGGGAGAGCTAGGATTTGTAAGCAGCGGATGTGACTCTATGCCTCGTAACCACCGCAACTGCAAGGTGCCTCTCATTTATGTGGTGAATCACACAGGTACCATTTAGGCCAGGGGTTCTCAACCTGTGGGAAGCGACCCTTTCACAGGGGTCGCCTAAGACCATCCTGCACATCAGATATTTACATTACGATTCATCGCAGTAGCAACATTACAGTTATGAAGGAGCAATAAAAATAATTTTATGGTTGGGTCACAACATGAGGAACTGTATTTAAAGGGCCAGAAGGTTGAGAACCACTGATTTAGGCTGTTTCCCACATTGGACAGTTCCTTCCCAGCAGGGGGTACTTCATTACCTTTGTCCCCTGACTGGCAATGTCTAGCTCTAGCCCATGTTACACACGCAATAATTATTGGCAAAATAAGTGAACGCATACATACATTGATTACCCAGTCATTTTCACATGTATGCCTCAATTGACTAGATTATTTAAGCTTTCAGAATTTTAAAATTGATTTTTAATATAAAGTTCCTGTCTTTAAAATGTAGTGATGCAAAAAAAAAAAAAAAATACTTTATTTGAATTGAGAAAAACATGGCTAAGTAGTTTAATTAAAGGATATGTATCCTATGCTGCTATTTCCTCCGAAGTGGTTTTTAAAGCTTTATTCAGCGATAGCATCTATTAAGCAAAAAACTCCAGAAACAGCTATTCGACTCATTTCATGATATACACATGCATAATATTAATGATCTTTGATCACAAACCGCAAACGACTGTGGCATTTCCACAGACACCGAGACTTAGAAAACAATCAATCATGCCAGGTAAAACAGACAGCTGCACTTACAAAAACTGACGCTAAGAACACCCCCGGAGCAATGCCTGGCCCAGGAGCCACTCGCAGGAAGCTTTCCCGAGTAAGTTTGACGACGATCGTAAAGACACGAGTAACTCGCCACAAAATCCCAACAGCCGTAGGTTTACAGTGAGGAACAAACATTCCTGGGCGGAAGGGGTGGGCGTGTGAGAGATTTGAAAACGACACCCCTCCCAGGCCGCCTCAAAACCTAGAGCCCGAGTTTCTCGTCCTCAGAACTCCTCACCGTTTCTATTCTAGGGGGACGCGACCATTTCTCGGGCAGAGGCTAGAGCACAAAGGAAAACGGGCCATCCAGCGCGAAGGCCGAGGAATCGAACGAAACTACGGCGCGCTGACCAACAAGGACCCCTGGCGTCCAACCGCCCCTTCACAGAGAGCCGCAATCGCACTTCTCGCGAGATTTCCAGTCTTAATGGGATCGCGAAGATGAAACCTCGCGGCTTTTCAGATAAAGTGTCCGACGGGACAGCGCCTAACCCACTTCACGGAATCTTCGAGAGCCTTGACCTCACAGCCCCTATTTCCTGTACCTTCCATCCTCTTCTCTCCCACCCCCTCCCACCTTTCAGTCCTAGGGACTTCCGGAGCTAGACCGGAACCGGAAGTTTCTGGACGCGAGGGGGTGGGGCCGAAAAAAATCAAAAAAAGCGCGGTGAAAACTGGAAACCCAAACTGGCCGGGTGGTGGTGACTCCCTGGCGGTCCCGTGGCGGCTCCTGATGGACTCCACCGCCTGCTTGAAGTCCCTGCTCCTGACCATCAGTCAGTATAAAGCCGTTAAGTCGGAGGCGAACGCGACCCAGCTTTTGCGGCACTTGGAGGTGAGGGGCTCCAGCGGCGAGGGCGAGATGGGCTTCCCCGTAGTAACATTTAGTGCGCGGTGTAGCCAGGGGGTAGCTGCCCCAGTTTAGGAAGGAAAGGGCTGCCTCTCCCGTCCTCAGCTGTCTTGTGTTGGTAAAGAAGGCGAGGGAGGGTCAGCCTCGAGTCCCACCCTCCGCTGCCCCGCCCCCAGCCCTCCAGGTTCCTTCAGTTGCCTCGGGAGGGAGTAGTGGCTGCTGAAAGTCCCGGGACCAAAGGTTGGGGAATTTAGGCTGTGTTGGGGGTTGGTGGAGGAGAGAGCTCAAGCCTGTACCTTTCCCCTTTTAAAAAAAACAAATTAAATGTTTATTGTTGAACGTATTCCATATGTTCCCCTTTTTTGGTTTTTCCATCGTAACAGTCCTGACAATATCCAGTAATCCTCGGCAGTGCAGGTGATGGGGAGTGATGACTAAAACTTGTTTTATCCCTTGTCCCTTAAACGGTTTACAACCTAAACCTGTTCCTTACTGCTTTTATTTTAACTCATGTTGAACTCGAACTTGAAAAATATTATTTCAACTTTTCTCTGGATTAAGAAGCAATTTCACTTACTAGTAATCTTAATCTTTTTTTCTTTCCCAAAACAGATAGCTCACAATTTTTCAATCCTAAAATACTGAATTGCTTTCATTTTTGTCTATTAGTTCCCACTGATTTGTGTCTAGAGTACTTATTCTATATTATAACTTTTTTTGCTCTTAATCTGCTGTCATTTATTATGCATTAATGGGATTCCAACTAACATTGACCTCAGTTTTAGTAAAAAATAGTTAAGCTCAATCAAATCTTATTTTAATTCTCTCTGTCACTGCTTCTGTTAACATAGAATTGAACATAATTTTAAAATAGATTCTATTTCTTATATTAACCCTGTGATAAAAGCTTAAATTACCAAAGATTAACAAACTGACAAAGAGAAGACTATTGTTAATGGTACAGTAACGTCAGGTTTTGGTGCAACGGGAGTGCATTAAATGTGTCTTCATTCCCAAGTTTCATTGGTGCTCTCCTTACTACTTCAGGTGCCCATCTCCTAAGTACATTATTTTTTTCATTCAGTACATCAACAAATTTCTGCAAACCTAATAATGATGAAGGTGTTAGCTGTTAAATGCTAATACTTTACTTCTCAATTAGGATAGAACAGTGTGCTAAGTAGATCCACAAAGCCACAAAATAAGCAGGGTTGTTAGTTTAATTTTAAGATAAAGGAATTAACTATTTTAAATATCCATTTGAAACATTACCTGTCTTTGAGAATAAACAGGTATGCTGTGAATCTAAGCACCATGTTATGGTGAATTGAAGGAGACTTTAAAGAAATATGAGGCTTAAGGACTTGACACTAGACTTTCAAGGGATTTATTGAAAGTCTTGTACCGTTTAGAGAACTAACATATATTTAGTGTATAATGTGCAATAATCTTAACTAAAGAAATAGCTTCATAATTTTTTTAATGTTTTTATTGATTTCAGAGAGGGATGGAGAGGGAGAGAGTTAGAAACATCAGTGATGAGAGAAAATCATTGATTGGCCACCTCCTGCACTCCCCCCACCTGGGAACAAGCCCACAACCCAGGCAAATGCCCTGACCACAAATTGAACCTCAACCTCCTGGTTCATGGGTCTATACTCAACCATTGAGCCACATTGGCCGAGCCAGAGTTTTGTGTGTTTTTTTAATATATGTGTATGCTCAAGTAGCTACCATCTGTATCATAATATCGAATATTTCTGATTTTTTTTTAAAATATATTTTATTGATTTTTTACAGAGAGGAAGGGAGAGAGATAGAGAGTTAGAAACATAGATGGGAGAGAAACATCGATCAGCCGCCTCCTGCACATCTCCCACTGGGGATGTGCCCGCAACCCAGGTACATGCACCTGACCGGAATCGAACCCGGGACCCCTCAGTCCGCAGGCCGATGCTCTATCCACTGAGCCAAACCGGTTTCGGCTCGAATATTTCTAATGTGTTTTTTTTCAATTGTCCCCTCTCATAAAATTCAGATAACTGAATTTATACAATACATACTTTTGTATCTGACTTCTTTCATTCAGTATAATCTGAAATTCATTAATGTTGCACACTTTACTCTTTTTGATTACTTTGTAGAATTCCATTTTGTAAATTCACCAGTTTATTTATATTCTGTTGATGGGCATTTGGGTTGTTCCCAGTTCTGGGTAGAATTTGAAAAATGTGTTGTAAGTACTTTCATACTTTTTTTGTTGATATGTGCATTCATATCTTTTATATACCTAGAAGTGAAATTGTTAGGTTTCACAGCTATGTTCCATTTCAGGTGAAATTGCCAAGCAATTTTTCACAGTGTTATGCCATTTTACCCTCGCACCAGCAGTATGTGAAAATTGCCATCCTTCATCCAGAGCAATTCTTGGTGTTTTCAGATTTTTAAATTTTGACCATTTTCGTGATATTAAGGGTTACTATCTTTGTGCAGATCTCATGAAAGCAGCACCTGAAGATACAAACAGAGATTGTTATTCTGTGAAAGGAGATTGACTATTCATTCTGCTATTCTGCTGCACTTCTGCTAATTTTTCTTTATAGTCCAGGCCGAACCTGAGATTTGAATTATTTTTTGATTGGGAGAGCTGAACTGGTCCCAATCTTTGTGGTTTTTCATAGCACTAATCTTATGTAATGATTATGAGCATTGATTCAGGAACAGTGAATCCCAATTAAGCTACTGTAGATTGTGCTTCAGTTTACTCATCTGTAATAATTAGCTGTAAATTGCAGGTTATTATGAATATGAAAAGAATTAACATACACAATGTACCTAGGCCAGAGCAAGTGCTAAAGTATTAGTTATTAAAGTAAATTGTATTTACATAAAATATCCTATGTGTATAAATAAAGAAAATTTATAAAGCATTTTAAAAATTTACCTTGCAATGAATAATTATTACATGTTAGAATACATGTGTTATTTTAACCCAGGTCCAGTCCTGAGGGAAACTATATTTAAAGCAGAAAATGTCTTCATCTTCTAAAGGGCTAGCTTTATAATAGGCAAAAGGACAGTGCTCAGAAGGTTCCTTATCACAAAATATCTTCTATCAGTATCTCACTTCACCTTTGGACCATTTTTCAGTCTTACAGACTTTTACTTTAATGTTAAAACATATAACCCACAGGAAAAGATATTCTGAAGCTCCCTTATCAGCAAAGGTTTAGAAGAAAGCTTTGACATCTTGGTGAGGGAATAAAGGGACACGGAAAGATTAGGGGGATGCTAAAACAACCTTCTGAGACTTGATCTTTTATTTATTTTTTTAAATTTAAATCCAAAGTATTACATATGTCACCTTTTTCCCCCATTGACTTCTCCCCGGCTGCTCCCACCCACCAGCACATGCCCCCACCCCCCTATTGTCTGTGTCCATTGGTTATGCTTATATGCATGCATACAAGTCCTGTGGTTGATCTCTTACCTCCCTCCCTCCCACCGTCCCTTACCTTCCCTCTGAGGTTTGAGGGTCTGTTTGATGCTTCTACATTTCTGGATCTATTTTTGTTCATCAGTTTATGTTAATTTCATTCCACAAATGAGTGAGAGTATATGATATTTATCTTTCTCTGACTAGCTTATTTCACTTTACATGATGCTCTCCAGGTAAGACTTGATCTTTTAAAAATAAAAACATTTAGAACAAATTTACTCTAATTCTAAAGTAACTAATTGTTTTTCCATTTACATAGAAAAGATATGTTTATTATTGAATAACATTCAAAAAGCATTTTGAAAATACATGTTGTTTGACAACTATTTTGAGCCTTCAATCCCAGCTTTACCTTTTCAAGGGTGTAGGGTGAGATGGTAAGAGAGGAGTAAAAAGTAGAATATCCAAAGATAAAATTTGTCTATGCCTGACCTGGCTACTTAAAAAAATTGTTTTTTTAAATTCCTCTTTGGTAATGAAGGCATCATGGAGTATTCAGTGTAGTAGGGAGGATAAATATTGCTAGGTCATTAAAAGTTTACAAGTTTATGAAATAAAAGTATAATGTACTGTAGGATAGAGTAATAGGCAAACCTAATGTAGTTGATAGAAGAGGGTTAGAAAAAGTACCTGGAGGAAACGAAGCTAAAACCCAAATGATTACATTAGCCAGTGAGAGAAGGGATAGGTAATTCATCTGCTCAGCAGAGGTATCAGCATGTATGAATTTTCAAAATTGGGGGAGTGGCAGTGGCATTTTGGAAGAACTGAGTTTTTATTTGAAATAGGAAAGAGATGAAAACTGCCAGTTATTAAAATATATTTTTTTATTGATTTTTAGAGAGAGAGGGAGAGAAATTTCTATCAGGTGCCTTCTGCACAAGCCCTAACCGATTGAGCCCGAAATCTGGGCATGTGCCCTGACTAGGAATATAACCTGCAACCTTTCGGTGCACAGAACAATGTCCAACCAACTGAGCCACACCTGTGAGGGTGCCAGTTTTTAACTAACACATTTTAATTACTATTTTATAGGTAATTTCTGGACAGAAGCTCACACGATTATTTACGTCAAATCAAATATTACCAAGTGAATGCTTGAGTTGCCTTGTAGAGCTACTTGAAGACCCAAACATAAATGCACCACTGATCTTCAGTATCATCAGTTTGTTATCTCAATTAGGTAATTTAATTTCTCTTTTTAAGTTTTTAGAAGATTTTTGAATGTAATAGCTTTTGAAGGGCAGATTTAGTTATAGAATAGTTAGGAGAATGATTCACATTCCAAAAATTTCTTCATTGCAGGACTTTACAGAACTATTTGCTTTGTGGATCTCTTGAAAGGGGACTATTGTATGAATCCTTTCTTAAAATTACTGGAACGAAGAATCTCAAACATATTAGGTTCAGTGGTCTACAGATAAGAACACACTTTCCTAAATGCTGACCTACCTACTTTTGAATTAAAAAACAACAACCTACATTTACGTAATGCCAGTATTAAATACACAAGTCAGAATAGTTATAGCTAATGATTAAATAAATCATCCTTTTTTTTATAGACTACACTGAACTTGGAACTAAGGGTAAAAAAATGTAGGTGTTGCTTTTTCTATTTTTTCCTACCTTAAGCTTTCATTTTTAAATGTTCACTTATTAGTTACCTTTTTTATTGATTTGTGTTTGGAGGTATAGTGGAGATATTTTTTGTGTGACTATAAAATTAATACATACTATTAAAAAAACAACAACAGTGAACCAGAAGGATCAGCCCTGCCAGCCGGCGTGGCTCAGTGGTTGATTGTTGACCTCTGAACCAGGAGATCACAGTTCAATTCCCAGCCAATATTTGCTCAGATATGCCCGGGTTGCAGCCTCAGTCTCCAGTGTGGGGTGTGCAGGAGATAGCCGATCAATGATTCTCATGATTGATGTTTCTGTCTCTCTCTCCCTTCCTCTCTGAAATCAATTAAAAAAGAAAAATAGAACTTTCTTGGTGAAAATGTTCTCTATCTGTTGTCCAGTATAGTACCTGTAAGCCACATAGGACTATTGAAGTGTGAGTACTAGACTAAGGAACCTAATCTTTTAATTAATGTATATTTAAATAGCCATGTGTGGCTAGTCCCTACCAAATTAGATAGCATAGATCAGTGGTTCTCAATCTTCCTAATGCCGCGACCTTTAATACAGTTCCTCCTGTTGTGGTGACCCCAACCATAAAATTATTTTCGTTGCTACTTCATAACTGTAATTTTGCTACTGTTTTGAATCATAATGTAAATATCTGATATGCAGGATGGATTTTCACTGTTACAAATTGAACATAATTAAAGCATAGTGATTAATCACGAAAACAATATGTAATTATGTATGTGTTTTCCGATGGTCTTAGGTGACCACTGTGAAAGGGTCATTTGACCACCAAAGGGGTCGCGACCCACAGGTTGAGAACCTCTGGCATAGATATATAGAGAGTAAAACAAAATTAGTCTTTATTCTTCACCACCACCTTCCTCATCATTTCCACTTTGGAGAAGATATTGAGGATCTTTCTTAATGGTTTGATATGTGTTTTTCCAGATCTTATTCTATATTATAACAAATGATTATAGATTAAAATATTAACAAATAATTTTATTTATTTTTAACAAAAATGGTGTTGCAGAGTAATGCTCGTTTTCTTTTGTACTTGCTATATTTTAGATGTCCTTCCATAATGCTTTCTTTTTAATAGCTACCTTGTACCTCATTGTAGAGTACTATAATTTATTCAACCACTCCACTAAGGATGTGTACTCATGTATGTTCTTTTTTGTGTTTTTTTGCTGTTAGAATCAATACATTTTTCTGTATTTTTGCTCAAATTTTACTGAGTATTTGTTGAATAAATTCTCAGTAGAATATTCAGACATTGTTCAATTTAACAGTTTTTATTACATTGCTTTCCAAAAAGGCTATGCTAATTCCAACATCCACCAACCATTTATATGAGACTGGCAGTCACTTTCAATGTTTAAATATGTTAAAGAGATTATCTTAATATTTGCTTTTTAAATTTTTATTTATTTTTTAGTTAATAGACTTCATTTTTAGAGCAGTTTTAGATTATAGAAGCATTGAAATAATTTTAACAGCAAAATTTCTACAAGCAGGTGTTTTCCTTGAGATTAATTTAGCTTACATTGAGAAATCATTTGTTTATTGGCAAAAACGGAAAAGCTAATACTCCCTTCTCATTTCCAGCTCATAAAACTTCTGTGACTAAACTTCTGCATTGGAAAGTATTTGTATGTAAAATAGTCATATCATATTTGATGTTTTTATATAATGGTAAATTTGATATAGAAATTAAAATTTTAACTTTCATCTATGAAGGCCATATGTAAAATTGATAATGTTTTGTGCACGTTAATTTACAGCTGCAGACAATGAAACCAGAGACTATCTTCAGAATACATATAACCTGAATAATGTGTTGGCAGGAGTGGTATGTCGGAGCAGCACTTGCCACAGTGATTCAGTGTTTTTGCAGGTATATACACCCACACAGTACTTTTCACTTCGTACTTATTTTTCCTTATTTTCAGATCAAAATTAATAGTATCTGTTAGTAACTGCTAGCTTATAGAGTATATGCTGGAATGATTAGTCACATTCTTGCCATTAATAAATTTAAGAACTAGTTGATCACACATGTACTACTATTTAAAAGTTGTGGTGAAGGGAAGCTTATTCACATTAGCACTATTACTAAAAAAAATTTACATTATGACTTATTTGACAGACTTATAAACACAGATGTCAGCATTTAGACCGTTATTTACATTAAAATTATAATTTGCGTTGGCATCTAGTGTCATTGTTGAGGAAACATTCTACAAAAATTGAAGCTATAGATTTGTTCTTATTTAGCATAGACTCGGAGCACTTATACCCATAATATTTTATTGAACCTAAAATTCAATTGTAAAAAAGAAAAGTGTTGCCAATTAAACATACATAAAATTTTAAAGATGGTAAATGTGAAAAAAATATATATCTTAGAATTGATGGAATATGTATGTTTTAACCTACATATGCTTTTAAGATGATAAAGTAAACCAAGTTGATGAAAAGATGCTTTGTTTAAAATAGGGTGTATAGGAATGTGTGAATCAGGAGATGAATCCTAAGGTTCTTGGTAGTCTTATTACTTAGTGTTAAAAAAAAAAAAGAGAGAGAACCATTTTAAGAAATGGAAACATTTTTGCTCTAAATTCTGCCTCCTAAAATGGTGACATGTTCAGAATATGCACAGAACTCTAGTTTGTGAGCATGCAATATGTTTTGTGTGTTTATATTCATTACTGTTTTTTAATTCTCAGTGCATTCAACTTCTGCAGAAGTTAACATATAACGTCAAAATTTTCCATTCTGGTGCAAATATAGATGACTTAATTATATTCCTGATAGATCATATGTGAGTATGCAACCAAACATGTAACCAAATAATCTACTGGTTTATTTTTAAACTAAAACCATGTATTAGTTCAATTTTTCTTAGATAAATTTTTCTATCTTCTTTAAACTGAGACTGATTTCATATCTACTCCTCTTAGATAATTTTAAGAATCAAATGATATAAAGCAGCTTTAATATTTATAACAAAAACTTATGAAATGACTTTATTTGAACAGAAAGAAATTATTGACCCTGAAAGTTGTGTTTATATGTAATCTTCTTGATAGGAAAATATACTGATTAGATAGCATATGGCCACTCTGACAATTGTTTTTATATTTTTTTTTATTGTGTTACTGTTGTTGATTTCCTCCCACCCGCCCACCCTTTCCCACCTTCCCACTGAGATTCTGAACTCTGTTCCATGCTTCCATGTCTCTGGATCCACTCCATTCATCAGTTTATTTTGTTAATGAGATTCCACATATGAGTGAGATCATGTCTCACTGACTTGTCTTTCTCTGACTGACTTATTTCACTTTGCATGTTTTCATATTTCTATGCTGCAATTGAATAGGATAGTTTTGTTTCAAAACATGAAATAAGTGGGCAATACTATTCAAAGCTTGATGGTCTTCACATGTTCAGATTTTTCTTTTTGCATACAAAGAGGAATTTATATGTATAAATTTTGAATAATTTAAAATGAATTTAATAATTTTATTTTTTATTTTTCTTAAATAACAGTCAGTCTTCTGAAGATGAGTTAACAATGCCTTGTTTGGGATTATTGGCAAATCTTTGTCGGCACAATCTTTCTGTTCAAACACACATAAAGACTTTGGTAAGAATTTTATAAGATGTTTCTTGTTTTGTGGTTGGTTCTATGTTTCAAGAAAATTTCATTCATTTTCTCTTGCCCAGCTGATCCATCAGAGTTAATGAAGAATCAAATTGACATATAAATAATTTGAATTATTCCAGCTTTCATATGTGTTGTATTTAAAATATTAAGGGTTAATACAAGTGTTGAATACTAAAAGATTTCCTTCTGGTAGCATTGTTTGTTATATTGACTAACACAAGAAAAGCTAAATTATTTTGGCTGATAGAAGGAAGGCACATCATGGGCAATCCCTTTTATCCCAGTCTTTTTATTTCCACAAAATCAGTGTCAATTCCACCAGAAAGATTAATCAGTAAATGCCTCGCATCAACTACCACTACTTGCGATAAGTGAAGGCACACTAATGCATTTAACTGACCCACCATTAGAAATGTATTAAATCTAGCAAGTTTGTTGATTCGTTAAGGTGCTTTGTGAACAGTTTCCCTGCTGTGCAATCTATTACCTGTTTAGTTTTAAATTAAATAATATCTCATTTCTTCATGTGTTGGATTATTCTGACCTGATCTTATTTTGAGGTGGGGTGATTAAACTTTTACTCTTAATCCCACATCTAAACAGTGCTCTTCACCAAGATTGTGCCTATTGATACTACTGTACACAATATATAAAATATCCTCTCCTTGAAATGATCTCTTAAGTTGATAAGGATGTTTAATAATAAAAGTTTACCTACCTTGTGGAAGATAAACTTTTTGAACTCAAATATAAAACATAATTTTTATTCTAATTTAATTTTTAAATTTTTTTCTTCCTCAGAATAATGTGAAATCTTTTTATCGAACTCTTATAAGCTTCTTGGCCCATAGTAGTTTAACTGTAGTTGTGTTTGCACTTTCAATATTATCCAGTTTGACATTAAACGAAGAGGTTGGGGAAAAGGTAAATATGATTTCTTCTTATTATTTTTTAAGATAATTTTGAAGTTTTATTCTCTGATACTTTAAAAATCATTGAGCCTCTTTATTAAGTTTTAGGATGATTTCAACTTAACTTTTCTTTTTTTATAATATGCTTTCCCTAATTTGTTTTTTAAGTTGTTCCATGCTCGAAACATTCATCAGACTTTTCAACTAATATTTAATATTCTCATTAATGGTGATGGCACACTAACCAGAAAGTATTCAGTTGACCTACTGATGGATCTCCTTAAGAATCCTAAAATTGCTGATTATCTTACCAGGTATGGCTCTCTGACAAATTTTAAGACTTAAAAAAAAACAACAGTAAAAAAATACCAAAACTGCCTTTTTAGATTTAGTAAACTTGAATTCTACTGATTCACAATAGACTAAATAAGGATATTTTGATGTTCTTTATTCCCATTCTTTTTGCTTTCCTGACCTGAAATGTAAAAGAATAACAGGGTGTGTGTGTGTGTTTCAGTCTTTGCTTTAGATGAATAAAGTTGTATTAGACTCCAAAATGTACACACTATGATTAATCTGTTTCAAAACCAGTTTTAAATCTTAAACATGATGATTTTTTTAAATACTATTTTTATTATATTCTTTCAGTATGTCTTTTTGTGGTTTTTTTTGTTTGTTTGTTTTTTAAATAAAAATGGATGTTTCCTTCAGTGGGTACCTCTAGTGTGTTATAAGGTAAAAATGAGAACATATGTTTATATGTCTATTCTATTTCAATGGCATTTCGTGTGATTATTTATGTTTTGAGTTTGATTAGTAATTGTTTTCCAGAGAGCTCACAGTTTTTGTATCTTGAGTTAAGTTTTCCTAGTGTGATCCTAAGTTAGAACATTGTTGAAATTGTTTCAAAAAGTTAAATTAATGAACTATTCAGAAACAAGAAAATGTTTATTGAACTTTACTATGGTCAAGCATGGGGTAGGAGAAGCAGGGATATGAAGACATAGTTCTTAAACCTTAAGGAATATAGAATCTAGAAGTTAAAAAAGAACAAAAGCTAAGCACTAGGGCAAGGTTGACCACTACTCATATGGTTAATGATACTTTGTAATACCAAACAGCATTCACATTGGCATTTTATGTTTTCTTCTCTTAAGCATCAGTAGATAAGAAAACTGTCTTCCAGAGTGCCCTCCCTTTATCTGCCTTCTCTTATCTGTTCTAAGAATCTTCCCAATATATTCTCATGTAATACCCATTCTGACCACTAAGTGGTGCTTATTTAACAGCTTTGGAGTAAGCAGAAAAATTGAGTATACCTCTCTAGGACAGAAAGATAATCTGATTTAACATTACTAAGTGGTTGCTTAATCACTTCTGGGTATCTCTCAGTTGCATTATCTATTTTCTTTTCTGTCTAACCTAGAACCCTAGAATCCCCTCTGGAAAGAAAATTATATTGACCCTATGTATTTGCTGTACCATTTAACAAAACATACCTGTTTCAAAGTCTAACTTAATTCCTAGATTCCTGATCGAAGCTTGAGAAAAATCATACCGTATAAATTTTTATGCAGCATGCTTATGATCTCTAACTTTATCCGGTTAACACCTCTTACATTTATTCCCAGTCAGCTTTCTTTCACATTTTCTACAGTAGCTCCTTTAAATATTTACTACTATATAATTGCAGTTACCTCAAATATGTTATGGGCAAAGTTACCCGTGTTTATTCCAATTCTTACTGAGTGTCCTGTTTTGTTCATAAACATATCCTATTATTCTGTGCATTGTCTTATTCTGTCCTATCTTCAGTTTCTCCTATCTCTCTAGTCACTCGTGCCTACCATTCACTTGACTTCCTTGATTTATACATATGCCCAACTTTCATCTTTTTCTTCAACCATATGTTCCTTTAATATCTGTGATCTGCCATTGTATTCAGGTGAATATTCAAATTCTCAGAATAGCCCTCCAAAATGTGGTGACTGGCAATCTATCAGCCGTATTTCTTCACATTTTCTTTCATATGTACTTTTGAATAATCACTTCAGACAATAAATTGAACTACCAACTTGTTAGATACGCCGTTTGATGTATCCATGTACCATTTCCTCTGGAGTGCTTCATCTGGATGGCTGAAATACTCCTTCCACTGTATATGTCTGATGCCTTTTTTAAAAAAATATATTCTATTGATCTTTTACAGAGAGGAAGGGAGAGGGATAGAGTTAGAAACATCAGTGAGAGAGAAACATCCATCAGCTGCTTCCTGCACAACCACTACTGGGGATGTGCCCACAACCAAGGTACATGCCCTTGACTGGGATCGAACCTGGGACCCTTCAGTCCGCAAGCCGATGCTCTATTCTCTGAGCCAAACCGGTCAGGGCGCCTTTTTGTTCTTTAAGACTCAAGTCCGCAAAGCTTCACCTGATCAGGGCTGTTTCTACTAAATCTGGGTTTGATATCCATCCTATTTCATAGCATTTTATACATTTTCATTATAGCATATTTTACATCCCATTATATTATTTTGTCTTTTTGCCTTCATCCGTAGACTGTGAGTTCTCTGACAGGGCACTCTTCTCCCAAATCTAGGATGTACCTGTCACATAGAACGTAATGTGAATGGTACCACTAGTACCTCTTAGAGTTAACACAGGGTCCTGTTCCTTAACATCGGGTCCTGCTCCTGTAGCTGCAGAGCCTAATTTAATGTCTGGAAATTGTAGATGCTTTATAAATAAGTATCTGTCTAATTTATTAGTATATTAGTGTTCCTTGAATTTTACAATCTTAAAAAAAAGCTGTGGAGATACAGAAAGTTTCAGTGATTTATTTATTACCACATGTCATTTTTTTTCATTTTATAAATGATAGCCAATTTATGTATATCATAGTGGTAGAATGTATTTTAAGTTTTGAGCAAAAACTTTGTAAAGACTTTTATATTAGAAGCCAAAATAAATACATGAAAGAAAAGACAATTAAATTTTATATTTGTGTTGTGCATAAATTATTTTTGATGTATCAGTTTTATAATCTTATTGGATATATTTTTTTAAATTTTGTATTAGTTTCAGGTGTACAGCATAGTGGTTAGACAACAATATACAAAGTGTTTCCCCCTGATATTTCCAGTACCCACCTAGCATCCTACATAGTTATTACAATGTTATTCATTTAATGTATATTTTTATTTTAAACCTAGGTATGAGCACTTTTCTTCATGTCTTAATCAAGTATTAGGTCTTCTTAATGGAAAGGATCCTGATTCTTCTTCAAAGGTAGGTAAAAACATGACTCTTTGTTTTAAACTTTTAAAAAACTATAATATGAGGAAAAATCTAAGTGCACAGTTCTCTCAATTTTTACAAACTAAACATAGACATATAACCAGTATATAGATCAGGAAACACAACATTACCAATACTCTAGAACCCTCCTAGAATCTTTATACACTGGCATATGAGTCCCTTTGGAAAACTGTTTCATGGTGCCTACTGAGCATATGTATACCATATGACACAACAATTCCACTCCTAGCTACATAGGCAAGAGAGACATGTCCAAAATACATACAGAAAATGTTAAACAAATAGAAAATGAAATATTTAAATGATACCACTTACTAATTTTTTAAAATGTCAACTGCTTAGGGGATAAGGCCAACAAAACATTACAAAACCTCTACTCTGAAATTATGAAACATTGAGAGAAATAAAAGACTTAAATGACTATGTTCATAACAAGTTCATATAGATAGTAAGAGTTTACAATGTTAGGTTATTCAAAATTATAGCAGGTTTTACAGTGTTTATTGTTGTTGTTGTTTTTATTGATTTCAAAAAGGAAGGGAGAGGGAGAGAGAGATAGAAACATCAATGATGAGAATTTTTGATTGGCTGCTTCCTACATGCCCCACACTGGGGACCAAGCTACTGCAACCCATTTGGAATCAAACCATGACTTTCTGGTTCATAGGTTGACACTCAACCACTGAGCCAAGCCGGTCAGGCTGTTTTTGTATTTTTCTCATTTTGGCTGTGTGGAAATTGGGAAGCAGATTATAAAATTTGTATGGTTATGCAAAGGTCCAAAATTAACTGCGGCTATCCTGAAAAAAAAAAATGAACCAAGTTGGAGGGCTTATACTACTACCAGATAATAAGATTTAATATGAAGCTGCAGTAATTAAAACAGTGAAGTATTGTTATAAGTATAGTTAGCTGGCCCAGTGGAATAGAGTACAGTCCAAAACCAAGCCCCTAGTTTATGGATCTTATTGATAACAGTGCAGTATTAAAAGTATGGTCATTTCAATAAATGCCACTGGGTCGACTGAACATTCCATATGGGAAAAAACTGAATTTTGACCACTACCTCACACCAAATGAGAAAATCAGTTCCAGAAAAATTGTAGATCCAAATGTGCTAGGTAAAACAGTGAACTATGATCTTTCAGAAGAAACACCTAGCAGAATATTTTTACAGCCTTGGAATAGGTGAAGATTTTCTTAGACAAGAAACAAAAACACCAGTTATACAGGAAAAAAGTTGATAAGTAGGATTGCATTAAAATTAAGAGTTTCTGTTCATGAAGAGTCCACCAATAAGAGTGAAAAGACAATTCACAGTGTGGGAAAAGTTCTTTATCATACATATATTTAAAAAAGGACTCTTATCTAAAATATATTATTTAAAAACTTATACATATATGTCAGAAAAAATATGATCTCCAATAGCAACCTAAAAAAGAAAACTTGAATTGGTCAATAAAAATGAAACAGTTACTCAACTTTATTAATATTAAGGGAATGCAAATTTAAATGGTAATGTGATACCACTGCATGTCCACCAGATGATTTTAAAAATAGGGATAAGATCAAGCATAAATGAGAATGTAAAAAATTCCTAAGTGTCCCAGTATGCATGGGCTCAAAATTGGTACAACTGCTTATGAAAATTAGTATTTACAGTCAAACCTCTGTTGTGGAACAAAACTTTGGTTCTCAACTCCACAACTCTTTCATACTGATACTGTACTAACATTGGACACATGCATATATCAGGACCCAACCATTTAACACTTAAGTATTTACCCCAAAGAATTGAAAACATGTTCACCAGAAGATATATACAGAATATAGCAGTACTGCTCATAATAGCGAAGAATTAGAAACAATTCAAATACCAATAACAGTAGAATGGGCAAATAAACTGTAGTATATACACACTAGAATACAGTCAAGCACTATTTAACAATGGGGATACATTCTGAGAAATGAATCTTTTGTCTGAACATCATAAATGTACTTATATAAACTTAGGTGGTATAGCTTACTATACACCTAGGCCAGTGGTTGGCAAACTGCGACTCGTGAGCCACATGCGGCTCTTTGGCCCCTTGAGTGTGGCTCTTCCACAAAATACCATGTGCGGGTGCACACGTACAATGCAATTGAACCTTCATGGCCCATGTGCAGAGTTGGTATTTTGTGAAAGAGCCATACTCAAGGGACCAAAGAGCCGCATATGGCTGGCGAGCCGCAGTTGGCTGACCACTGACCTAGGCTATAAGGCAGGGGTCCTCAAACTTTTTAAACAGAGGGCCAGTTCACTGTCCCTCAGACCGTTGGAGGGCCGGACTATAGTTTAAAAAAAAACTATGAACAAATTCCTATGCACACTGCACATATCTTATTTTGAAGTAAAAAAACAAAAGGGGAACAAATACAATATTTGTATTTGCATGTGGCCCGCGGGCCGTAGTTTGAGGACCTCTGCTATAAGGTATAGCCTATTGCTCTTAGGCTACAAATTTGTACAGCATGTTACTGTACTGAATACTGTAGACAGTTGTAACACAACGGTATTTATGCAGCTAAACAGAAAAGGTAAAAATACAGTATAAAAGATTAAAAAAGGGTACTTGCTCTGGGTGAGTGATTGAGTGGTGAGTGTTAAGGCCTAGGACTTTACTGTACCCTGCTGTAGACTTTCTAAACACTGCATGCCTACAGTAAATTGATAAAACGAGATTAAATCAAGCACAAGAGACAATGCAATCAAGAGATACTATAAACACAAGAACTTTGAAGGTGCTACTGGTGTAACAGCATACTGTTTTACAGCAAACTTTTTTTTATAAGTAGAAAGTACATTCTAAAACAGGGGTCCTCAAACTACGGCCCACGGGCCACATGCAAATACAAATACTGTATTTGTTCCCGTTTTGTTTTTTTATTTCAAAATAAGATATGTGCAGTGTGCATAGGAATTTGTTCATAGTTTTTTTTTTTAACTATAATCCGGCCCTCCAACGGTCTGAGGGACAGTGAACTGGCCCCCTGTTTAAAAAGTTTGAGGGCACCTGTTCTAAAATAATGATTAAAAAGAATAGTATAGCCCTAGCTGGTTTTGCTCAGTGGATAGAGCATTGGCCCTCGTATTGAAGGGTCTTAGGTTCAAATTCAGTCAAGGGCAAATACCTCAGTTGCAGACTTCATCCCCAGCTCTAGTCAGTGTATGTGAGGGAGGCAACCAATTGGTGTATCTCTCTCACATTGGTGTTTAGCTCTCTCTGACTCTCCCCCTCCCTTCCACTCTCTCTAAAAATCAATGGGAAAATATCCTCAGATGAGGATTAACAACAACAAAAAAGTATAGTATAGTAAATACATAAAGCCATAACATAGTCACTTATTATCATTATCAAGTATTATGCACTGAAAATAATTACGTGGCTATACTTTTATACAACTAGCAGCACAGTAAGTTTGTTTACACCAGCCTTACAAACACTTGAGTAGTTGTGCTCTGACATTAAGATGACACTAAGCAATAGGAATTTTTCAGCTCCATTAAAACCTTACAGGACCACCATTGTATATGTGGTCTGTCATTGACTGAAGTGTCATGATATGGAGCATGACTGTATTATACAGCAGTGAACATGTGTGAAATGCAGCTGCATGCAATAATTTGGATGAATCTCACTGATCCAATGCTAAGCTAAGGAAGCCAGACAGAACATATGTACTGTAAGATTCTGCTTATATATAGTGTGGGGCAAGAGTAGATTTACAGTTGTGAGTATGCTAAGCAGAGTTTATTCTTGTATTATTATTTATTGTATTATTTTCCATACGAACAACTGTAAACCTACTTTTGCCCAACCCTGTATAACGTTCCATATGATTGTTTAATATAAACTGGTAGGTTGATAAAAAAATTTACATAGAAATACAAAAATCCAAGCATAGCTAAGATAAAATAATCTATATATCAGAAATCTGTTGTGGAGAAGTGGTTCCCAATGGCCTTAGGAGGGGACACAAGTGGGTTCTGGAGTTCTGATAGAATTTTCTTTCTTTATCAGATGGCTAGTTACACAGGTGTGTTCACTTTGGGAAAACCATCTAGCTGTGCACATGTGATTGATTTATTTACTTCTCTGTATGTTATACTTACAGAGTACTTGTATTTGAGAAAGTATTTTCTTGTAAGATAAACAAGAAACTGGTAACATGGCTTGCCCCCAGGGACTGTAGTTACAAGTCAGGCTGGTATGTGCTTTTGATTTTGGAATCAAGAAAATGTACCTTTTTGAAAACAAGTACTACAATTTATATTTAAAAGAGAATAAATCAGATTTATTTGTTTCATAGTAAATGCTATTGGACTGAATTATGTTAAAATTTAGATACTATCAAGTTAATTAAAACACAAATCCCAATTATATGTCAAGAAATAGACAAAGGTAGGAAGTAAGTGACAGGCAAGGAGACACAAAAAAATTTTTTAAAGCTAGGTTGGTAGTATAAGAAATGTAGAATTTAACTTAACAGCTAATAAACAAGTTGATGTGGGATATTATGTAATAGGAAAAGGCTCAATTAGCAAAGAAATGCAGAATTTGGGGAGCTAAGAGACATAATGCTGACATTATGCAAATATAGTATAGAAATAGCCATTCTTAATGTTTTAAGGCTTTTTGGAACACCACTTTTAAATATCGTAAAGTATGCTTTATGGCAATTCTTGAATCTTAGTATGATAGCAAATGTTAATTATTTTATTTTTAATTTTTTTTTCATTTTAAAAACAAAACTTAAAAAACTTAAGTACTTAGAAGGAATATAAACATTAGTTAAAGTTGCCCTTCCTTCTTTGGCCCTCAGAGTCCTGTTAATCATAAGTAAAGTAACCACTACTAATTACTTTGTAATCATGTGGAAACTTTTAACTCATTTTGAAAAATAATACTGAAAGGAAAATTGGAAGCTACTCCTAATATTTGTTGTAAAGTATTGCTGGGGATCTTTCCCTGCATCTAGAAAGGGTCAGGAATCTGGAGAAGGGTTGCGAATAAATTAATAAGGAGAATAGACATGAAATATAAATTTGGAAGGCATTTTGGGGGAGCCAGGAAAGCTTAGCTTTAGTAACTAAGTTCTCCGAATCTCCGCAACCAGGGCTTTTTATTTCCACACTAGAGGCCTGGCGCGTGAAATACGTGCATGGGTACGGTCCCTAGGCCTGGCGTGATACCAAGGCCATCTTCCCTGGCTACCGGCAGTCGGCCCCGCCCACCACTGCCACCCACCCCCGGTTCCCCATTCGCCATCAGACAATCAGAGCCTGCAGGCTGTGGGGAAGGGACCGAGAGGTTGGCTGGCAGGCCCTGATCAGGCAATCAGGGCATGTGGGCTGGGGGCAGCTCCTACATTGTGCATCTGCTCCCTGGTGGTCAATGCACATCATAATGACCAGTCATTCTGCCGTTCGGTCCATTTGCATATTACCCTTTCATTATATAGGATTTTGCCCTATAGCAAAACAGATACCCATTAAAATACCAACGACATACTTCACAGACCTAGAACGAACTCTCCAAAAATTCATCTGGAATAAAAAAAGACCCTGAATAGCTGCAGCGATCCTGAGAAAGAACAAAGTAGGTGGGATCTCAATAACAAATATCAAGCTGTATTACAAAGCCACTGTTCTCAAAACTGCTTGGTACTGACACAAGAACAGACATATAGATCAATGGAATAGACTAGAGAACCCAGAAATCGACCCGAACCAATATGCTCAATTAATATTTGACAAAGGAGGCAAGAACATACAATGGAGTCAAGACAGTCTCTTCAATAAATGGTGCTGGGAAAATTGGACAGATACATGCAAAAAAATGAAACTAGACCATCAACTTACACCATACACAAAAATAAACTCAAAATGGATAAAGGACTTAAATGTAAGACGGGAAACCATAAAAATATTAGAGGAATCCAAAGGCAACAAAATCTCAGACATATGCCGAAGCAATATCTTCACTGATACATCTCCTAGGGCATTGGAAACTAAAGAGAAAATAAACAAGTGGGACTACATCAAAATAAAAAGCTTCTGCACAGCAAAAGAAACCATCAACAAAACAACAAGAAAGCCCACTGCATGGGAGAACATATTTGCCAATGATATCACCAATAAGGGTTTAATCTCCAAAATTTATAGGGAACTCATACAACTTAACAAAAGGAAGATAAACAATCCAATCAAAAAATGGGCAAAGGACCTAAATAGACCTTTCTCAAAAGAGGACATTCAGAAAGCCAAGAGACATATGAAAACATGCTCCAAGTCACTAATCATCTGAGAGATGCAAATCAAAACAACAATGAGGTACCATCTCACACCAGTCAGAATGGCTATCATCAACAAATCAAAAAACGACAAGTGCTGGAGAGGATGCGGAGAAAAAGGAACACTCATGCATTGCTGGTGGGAATGCAGACTGGTGCAGCCACTATGGAAGACAGAATGGAGTTCCCTCAAAAAGTTAAAAATGGAACTCTCATTTGACCCATTGATCCCACTGCTAGGAATATATCCCAAGAAACCAGAAACACCAATCAGAAAGGATATATACATCCCTATGTTCATAGCAGCACAATTTACCATAGCTAAGATTTGGAAACAACCTAAGTGCCCATCAACGGATGAATGGATTAGGAAACTGGTACATATACACAATGGAATACTATGCTGCTGTAAAAAAGAAGGAACTCTTGCCTTTTGCAACAGCATAGATGGAACTGGAGAGCATTATGCTAAGTGAAATAAGCCAGTCAGTGAAAGAAAAATACCACATGATCTCATTTATGGATAATAAAGACCATTATAAACTGATGAACAAAAATAGATACAGAGGCAGAGCAGCATTAAACAGATTGTCAAACTTCAGCAGGAAGGCTGGGGATTGTGTGTGTGTGGGGGGGTGGGGGGTGGCGGTAAGAGATCAACCAAAGGACTTGTATGCATGCATATAAACATAACCAATGGACATAAGTCACTGGGGGGTAGAGGAGGCTGGGGGAAGGTCTAGGGGAAAAAGGGGAGACAAATGTACTACTCTTTGTAATATTTTAAGTAATTAAAATAATAAAGCATATATACAATTTTGACTGCAAAAAAACACACAACAGATATACATATAAAAGGTAAGTTTTGATCAAGTTGGGGGAACTGCCTTCTGCTGTTCAGCTGTTTGTCCAGCAGCGGGTAATAACATGTAGATTTCCAGGTTTGGGGAAATGCCCTCAGCTGTCTGGCAGCAGGCAATAATATGTGTCTTCAGCCCTGCTGAAGCCTCAAGGTTCACCAACATTTTGATGAACTTCTTGCATTTATGACCTGCTAGAATTAGCTCCCAGCAAAGTATTTTCTTTAAAAATGTATGTCAGGTTCAGTTTTTATGATTGGATTGCTTTGTGCACTAAAGTCTAAGGAATTGACATTTAATGAAGACTTTATATTGCACAGGTTTTAGAATTACTTCTTGCCTTCTGTTCAGTGACTCAGCTGCGCCATGTGCTCACTCAGATGATATTTGAACAATCTCCATCTGACAACACTGTTCTGGGAAGCCGTTCTAAATGTGCAGAACCTACTGTAGCTCTACTTCGTTGGTCAAGCCAACCCTTGGATGGATCAGAAAACTGTTCTATTTTAGCATTGGAGCTGTTTAAGGAAATATTTGAGGTAATATTTGACAATTTGACTTCCATTTTTATGATTCTCAGTGAACAGTTGTTTTAAAAAATGTTCATAATAAACTTAAAGTTGTTCATATATTTTAGGAAAACTTTTCCATTACTAGGCTCCCTAACATTCAGCTACTGAATTTCTTTTCTCTGGCAAAATCACAAATATTAGTGTTTTCTCTTTTATATATATACTGAATAGCTTATATATACTCCTTTCAGTGTAATAAGTAAAGGTTTATGGTTTGTATGTTTGACTATTTTTTGAAATAATCACATTCTGTCTGTCTCAGTAGATACTGTCTGCTCTCTTCATTAGCCTTTTGAGTTGATTAACAGAGGAACATTGGATTGAGTCAGTGAAGTAGCATGGAGCACGCCAGGCATGTCTAGACACTTAGGATACAGACAAAATTCCTTCTATAGAGTCCATTATATTCTATCAGGGTTATTTTGTATTCTCCCCTATTCTCCCTGTTTGTACCCATTCTGCCTACCCTCATTCTCTTCCTAGAATGTTTCCCCTTCCCTTACGAGATCCTATGCACAAACAAATACGTATGAATGATTAAATATATTTGTTAGAAATTATGTACAAGTTGTTTTTTCTGTTTTATATTGGTCTTGCCTGTTAATCAGTTTTAGTATTTAAAGAGCCCTTTGAGATTCTTGATGGGAATTATTTGTGGTTGTAAAGCATTAAAACTAGTGTCTATTTAATTATTGTAATTACATTTAGCAAGTTCAGGATATTTGTTTTTAGTACACTTTATAATAATTTTAAATCACAAGTATAATCTATTTAGAAATTGTTTACAGTTGATTAACCCAAAACCTTTTTGTTCCATTTGAAGAAAAGATCATCATAGTCTCGATACTGGATAAAGGGTAGATTTTAAATAGACACAGGTCAATGAACTATTAAGTAACAAATTTAGAGAGAATATTGTAGCTCTGTGATGACTATTTCTGCATTCTGTATTCCATCTTTTGTTTTGTTTTGTTTTTAATCGGTGGTGGTGGTTATATTCCAGGATGTCATAGATAGTGCTAACAGTTCCTTAGCTGACCGTTTTGTGACCCTTCTGCTGCCTACAGTCCTTGATCAGCTTCAGTTCACAGATCAAAATCTAGATGAGGCCTTAATAAGAAAAAAATGTGAAAGGATGATCAAAGCCACTGAAGTTTTATTAAATATCCTTTACTATTATAAATATGGAAACTAAATAACCACTCACTTTTTTCCCCAGCATTGTATTTACTGCATTTTTGTCTTTGGTTATAATTTTGTGACTTCTCATGCTTGTATCTATTCACAATTATTGAACTGAAGTTTAAATATAGAACTAATTCTCAATGAATAATTTCTATGAAAGTTATTCAGACATTTTTTTCCTTATTTTTGTGCAAAACTTTTAATCTAAAGAACATTTTCAAAAATGATATTTTTATCATAATTTTAGATTAGGATTTATATTCTAAAATAACTGCCCTTTCACTTCTGATGCTAATAGTTGCCTCTGGATGATTTGTGGTGCCATCTTTGGTGGAATGTATCAGAATAAATAAATGTTGATAAAGGTGTCATTGTTTTAGCTCAGTAAATTTTAGCTGTGTTTTAAAAATTAAAGCATAAATGTTTTTAATAAAGGTGACATCACACTTGATTATAAAAAGGCAAATGTTATCAAGACAAATTAATTCATTAAAAAAAAAAAAAGACCTTGAGTAAAATTAGTATCACTGCTTAACTTCTATATACTGGTTTTCTTAGGTCTTTCTTTGTTAGCTTTTGTTTTTTTTAGATCAGCTGATTCTAACCCTCCAAAAAAGTCCAAATCTCAATTTTTAAAAAATTTAATAATGCTTTTAAAAAAATTATCAACGAGAAACCACTATATTTGAGCCAAATCTCTTACATTTGCCTAGTTAGGTTTTTTTTTTGTATCTCAAAGCAAGAAGAATTTGCTCAACTTTGTCCTGCCCTAAAACAAACACCACATCTCTTTCCACTCCTCTCTGAGCTGCTGCTGCTTAATTCCCTTCTTCCTTTATAGCAGTGTCTCTCAATGTGGGCTGTTTATTAGAATCAGTAGGAGGACATTTTAAAAATACTGACACCGGAATCTTATTTTCAGAGATTCTAATTTAACGAGTGATGTGAAACCCTAGTGGGGAGGAGTGTTTATGATTATTTGTTTAAACTACTTAGGTGATTCTGACATATAGCCAGAATTGAAAACCATTGCTATAGAGATAAATGATTACTTTGCTTGACCTTACAGATATCCATAATATATTCAGTCCTTCTCTTATTGATTGGTAGCTATTTATTTATTTGTTTGTTTATTTATGAGAGAGAGAGAAACATCAATTTGTTGTTCCACTTATTTATGCATTCATTGGTTGATTCTTGTATGTGCCCTGACCAGGGATCAAACCCACAACCTTCGCATATCAGGACAGTGCTCTAACCCACTGAGCTACCAGGTCAGAGGAAAACTTGACTCTTTTCAATGATAAATCCTATATAATAAAAGCCTAATATGCTAAGTGTCCAACCATTTGTTCGACCAGTTGCTCTGATGTGAACTGACCACCAGGGTGCAGACGCTCTGACCGGTAGGTAAGCTTGCTGCCGGGGTCCAGCCAATCGGGCCTGGGCAAGACGGGCCAGACATGCCCTGGAGCCTGTTGAGTATGACTCCCTCCACGTTCTGCGTGGAGTAGGGTTCGGTATCTGAAAGAGGAGCCGCACAACAAATGGAGAGAAAAAGACACAAGATAATTTTGCAATATTGGGGGACCAGGCGGCAAGTCCCGAAGGACTTCCCTCGTGCTCAGACCTCACCAAGCTTTTATTGATCTGGGATGCACCCATAGCATAGCCCTTAGGCAGGTGACCCCCTAGTAACAAGCAGACTAGCCCATCAGCAAGGATTTACATAATAATAAATGGGGGAGTAGTTTCAGCTACCACTGTCTGGACAAACAGAGGTGGCGCCTAGCTCCAAGCTTTGCTAGGGCTTCAAAGGCACCCAGCCTTCGGGAGGGTTTCCGGGAGTTCTCTGTCTATGCTTATCAGATAGTGAAGGCAATAAACAGTTTCCCACAGGAGCCCTCCTGCAGTCCCTACCCGGCCCTGATCGTGCACTGGTGGGGTCCCTCAGGCTGACCTCTGCCCTCTTGCAATTCGGGACCCCTCTGGTACGTTGGAGAGCCAGTTTTGGCCCAATCCCCTCGGGCCAGGCCGAGGGGCCCCATTCACCGGGCCTCTAGTATTCAAAATAACTTAAAATATAAGAGTATGAGAAAATAACTTCCTTTAGTTCAGTAAGTGTTTATTGAACCATTGTGATGCCTGCTGGCAAAAGACTCCCATCTAGTAGAGGAACATTCTTTTGGTTTCACCTTTGAGTCTGAAACTTTTGGTGTCAGTCTCATCACTTACCTGTCACTTAAATGCTCTGAGCTCTAGTTTTCTCATCTGTCATTGAGCTAATGTAACAATACACCAGATTTCGGTGAGATAATTTGCATGAAATCATCCTCAGTGCTGTAAAGTGCTATACAAATATAAGGCTTTTTGAGAAATTTTTTGTGTGCCTTAACAAAACTTACCTCTATGTGGAGACGAAACTCTAAAAGTGAATGTTGCAAAAATTCTAACTACTGTCAAATGTACCACTCTGATAGAACAACAGTTTACATATGGCAAGATTGATCTGGGGTTTGGAACAAAGGTCGCTGATTCTGAATTGGGGTAAGTATATGAAATTCAAATTGTGAAATGGTACAGCCATACTTAATAAAAATAAAAAGATGTAGTGATTCTCATCCCTTTTGGAAGCATATCGTTGGGGTATGTTCTATTTACTCAAGGTGTAGTGGAGAATTAAAAATTTTCATAATGATTTTTTAGAAAATCTATTTAATCCATAGATCACATGCTTCTGAAGAAGGATATTAACATTTGGTTTATTTCTCATTGTTTAGGTTTGTTTCGTCATGTTTTAATTTATTGTGATTATCTAAGGGTCTTTTATACTGCTGAATATTTCTAGAGGTCTTTTTGACATTGCCTCAGTAACTGTTTTTATGTCCATTTAGTTCTATATGTTTAAATGCAAAAGCATGACAAAACAGGTGTAGTTTTTATCATGAGCAAATTAGTCACTGCTTAAGTTTTCTAATAACAAAGACAACTTCTACCTTAGCATGTTAAGATTTCTGGTTAAAAGTGGCATAGTAATGAGATTACTTTATCCCCCTCCTCCCACATGAATTAAGTCCATCTGACAAGTATTTATTGAGGACCAGCTAAGTGTTAGACACTATGATTTGTTCCAATTTTCATAAATATAATTGTCAGAATTGCATTCTTCAATAACAAGGATCATCTTTTTACTTTTTTGTACTCCCGTTTGGGCACAGTTTAGTATAATTCATTCAATAAATTTAGGTATTACACCGTTGCCCTCTATTGTTGACATTCCAGTGGCAAAGCTAAGAATTAAATGGGTCATGTTATCAATGCTGCTAGTAATTTGAAGCAGAAAGTTGAGGCATGGTGGTATTTGAGAATAGAAAAATAAATTCCGTCAGGACTATTAATGCTGATTTATTCTCTTTGGGTCTTGAGTTTAAAGGATGTTGGTCTCTATGATATTTTTACTTTTCAGTAATATTTTACTTCTCAAAAGAAGCAATACTGTATCTTTTGAGATTTAAAAACAACGGTGTTGGTTTTCATTTTCTTTAAAATTATGTACAGAAATAAACTCTAAGGAAATTTTTAGTTAACTAATTTAAATATGACTTTTTTTTTTTTTAAGCAAACTTGCTGCTGATGTAATTTTGAAAACTCTTGATTTAATGAACAGACTTAAACATTTAGTTCCTGGTATGGAAGTAAGCTTCTACAAAATCCTTCAGGTGAGTTTATATTCTTCAAATAATTGTAGTTATTCATATGTAAATGCTTCCTAATATATGTTTTTGTTTTAAAATTCTTAATTTTTAGATTATTTTCTTAGAATTGACATCAGAATAAAGCTTAAAGTTGTTAATTGTTTTAAGTAGCTATAATATTCTTACTACACAGTTATGTTACATTTTTGCAGAAACTGAATGTAAGTGCTCCTGGGTCTAATGTACAGAATATTCATGATAGCGACAGTTCTTAAGCCTTTTTCTTTTTTGTGTCCTACTTCAGTTTTCTTCATTTATTTTTGTTGACGTTATGGTGATGAGGGGAGTGGTATTTGTTTGAGGGTTTATTTTTAGTTTGAGTTGATGAGGTAGGATATTAAGGAGGTGGGGAGACATTTGGAAGAAAAGGACTTGATTATGAATGATAAGATTAGAGAGGCTGTGCAGAAAATAGCTAACTCACAAATGTAAATGATAGTAGCTGAATAAGAGCTCTAGATGTTTACCTTGGTATCCACAAAACCTGCTTTATAATAGATATTTAACAACAATGTGAGCATTAAGTTACTATAATAAGTTAACAAAGATGGTTCTCATGTCTCTATAGACAGGGTAGAAGCCAAAACTGAAACCTTAGGCTGGGGCCACTTGTACACTGTAAGAGCATAATGCTTAAGAGACAGGGTACTTGTACCCTTTAAGAGCATAATGCCTAAGAGACAGGGTTTAGTTATTGACTCCACTACTTATTAGTCACTGCAGACTTGAGCCAGTTATTTTGCCTCTCTGAGCTCCAGGTTCCTGACTACAAAATGCAAATAATGATCCCCCTCCATGAGAGCAATTATGGTAGGTTACCATGGGGATTACAAAGATAAAGTCCAGCTCTTATCATGGTTCTGTGGCATTAGATTATATTTGAATACCTATAAGACACTCAACATTGTACTAGTAAAATGTTGATCGTTATAAAGGATTTATGTCTAATGTTTTTCTCAAACTGATTTTATGTCAGTTCTTAGGAGATTTTTTTCATATTAGATGATTTGGGGCTTACAGTATTAATATAAAATATTTACTGACATGAAGGACTTATACTTTGACTATAATTGTTTTAGTTACTAAATTAAAAAATTGTATTGAGTTCATTTGAATTTTACTTTAACTTTTAAATTTAATTTGCAAATGATTAGCCAGTTTTTCTTTTAAATGGTAGCTAGAAAAAGAAAATAATTTAAAATATTAGTCAGTTGTAGTCAGATGTTAAATTCCTCAAAATATTTAAGACATGATTTTCATAGGCACAGTCAAAAACACTCAAAATCTTTGCCAGATTTTTAAAGCTAATGTTAGTATTGATTGCTAAAACAATTATAACAAGGTAAAAACTAATAAATACATTCGAACATTAGATAGAAACACTTTAGACTTCGCCTAATATTATTGTATGATTTACTCTGTTTATTCACCTTACTCTAAAAGACCTGACATTATTCTTTCTGCCTCTTGTTTTCTGGTTTCTGATTTGCTTAGGATCCACGCCTGATAACTCCCTTGGCTTTTGCTTTAACATCAGATAATAGAGAACAAGTCCAGTCTGGATTGGGAATATTATTGGAAGCTGCTCCACTGCCAGATTTTCCTGCTTTAGTGTGAGTTGTCATCATTTGCAGTATATCTCTTATAGTGCTGGAATATCCTGCTGTGTTTCTTTAATAGGCCTCAATACAGCCAGGTTAGAAAATTAGTGAACTGAAGACTTCATTGTAACAGTAATTTTTCAAGTAATTAAAATTTGATTCCATCTGAAAAGACCAGGTATATGTATATTCAGGGAAAAGCTAGATCCAGATGGTTAAATATGTTATGCAGCTCCTGTCTCTCACCACTTCTTTTTAATGTAGTAGACTCGGACTAAGCTTACATCCTACCAGTTTAGTTCTTCCCTTCAAAAAGCTTTTCCTTCTCAACTGTTTAAGTAAGTTTAAGCATCACTGTCATTGACCAAATCCGGGTCATTTGCCAAGGAGGGCACCTTGGCAAATGCCAAGGATTTAGATATGAGAACTACATGAACTGGAGGTTGGGAGTTAGGGAATGTGGGAGGTTGGAGGTAGGGGGTGAGAGGATTCCCAAAGAAAAGTTCTGTGCTTTTATCAGAAAGTGGAATCGATAATGGCCAGGCAGAATTATCCACTATACTCATTAATTTCAAACATTAAGAGAATATTTGCAATTAGGTTTGAAAAACAAACAAAATGTCTAGTAGGGTTATACTTTAAAAAGTTGAAGTGCTTTGTATAAATGTATTTGCAAAAGAAGTTTGAATAAACTGAAGCAGTGGTAAGTAGGTTAGATATTTATACATGCGAGATGTCAGCAAACTAACCAGCAGACAGGAGCCTGTTTTTGTAAATAAAGTGTTACTGGAATAGGGCCATATCCACTCATTTTCATACTGTCTGTATTGTCTGTCTATATTCATGATATGACATCAGGGTTGGGAAGTTCTAACAAAGACTATGTAGACCAGGAGTGAGGAACCTTTTTTCTCCCAAGGGCCATTTGATTTTTATAACATCATTCGAGGGACATACAAAATTATCAACATAAAATTAGCCTACTACACTTAATTAGCTCACCCCTAATGCCTTTGGGGACCTTATATGGCCTGTAGGCCAGATGTTTCCCACTCCTGGATAGACCCTCAAGCCTAAAATACACTGCCTTGTCCTTTAAGAAAAAGTTTGCTAACCTCTGCTATTTCTATTAACTGACTTAGCAAACTCATTTTTCAGAAGTAATTTAAATAGTCATATATTCAGAGAGGAAGAGCTACGGAAAACAAGACCTAGAGATTACTTACTCAAAATTCCCTTATTTTTTTTAATCCTCACCCAAGGAATGAAGATATTTTTTCCATTGATTTTTAGAAAGAGTGGAAGGGATGGGGAAGGAGGAGGAGGAGAAGGAGGAGAGAGAGAGAGAGAGAGAGAGAGAGAGAGAGAGAGAGAGAGAGAGAGAGAGAGAGAGAGAGAGAGAGAGAAAGAGAAGAGAGAGAGAGAGAAACATTGATGTATTAGAGATACATCTATTGGTTACTCTCCGCTCTTGCCCTGACTAGGGCCAGGTATTGAACCTGCAATCCTTTGGTCCATGAGCCAACACTCTAACCATTCAGCAACTGGCCATGGCAGAAGTCCCTTAACTTTAAAAAATATATGTGTGTGTGTGTGTGTACACACACACACACACACACACACACACACACACATATATATATATAATTTTTTTTTTTTTTTTTTTGATTTCAGGGAGAGGGAGAGAGAGATACATCAGTGATGAGAGAGTTATCAATCTGCTGCCTCCTGCATACCCCCTAGTGGGAATAGAGTTCGCAACTCGGGCTTCTGTCCTGACCTCTAGCTCATGGGTCGACCCTCAACCTTTAAACTACACTGGCCAGGCTCCCTTCATTTTATAATAAATATTTTTTTAAGAAACAAATGGACAAATAGGGAGCTTCTCAAGTCACAAGATAGAAATGGTGGTAGCCTGCTTGCTTCAGCTGTGGTAATCTGATATGAAGCAAAACCCCCACACTTCAGAATGGAAAGTTTCAGCATCACTGCAAGTGGGAGTTCATCTTCTGTATCTGGATATGTTGCCTTCCCACCATTTCACTGTCTTGGCTGTCCTTGTCTTACTTGTGTTGTATAATTTTCTCTTTGGAAACTTTCAGGTGTCCATTTATATTTATTTATACCTTTGTTTACATTGCCGTAGACCAGTGATGGCGAACCTTTTGAGCTCAGCGTGTCAGCATTTTGAAAAACCCTAACTTAACCCTGGTGCCGTGTCACATATAGAAATTTTTTTTATATTTGCAACCATAGTAAAACAAAGATTTATATTTTTGATATTTATTTTATATATTTAAATGCCATTTAACAAAGAAAAATCAACCAAAAAAATGAGTTCACGTGTCACCTCTGACATACGTGTCATAGGTTCGCCATCACTGCCTTAGACAGTTTAATAAGGTGAAATTATATGATGGATGGATGGATGGGTGGGTGTGTAGGTAGGTCTTTTTGGTGTGTGTAAATTTTATTTAAATATTTAACAGACATCCGGTAAGGGCCAGCTATGTGGCAGGTTCCCTCCTAGGCATTTTGGACATTGCATTGAATTAGACAGAGGGCCTTCTGTTATGATGTTTACATTCTAGTTGGGAGACAAGTAAGTTTTATAATGTGCAGATCATTATGAGTAGAGGGACCTTTATGAGGAAGAGAATTTAAAATGAGACCTGATGATAAGGAGGAACCAACACTATGCAGATCTGGTGGGACAAGTGTTCTACATAAAGCAGCAGCTTATAAAGGCTCTGAGACAGGAATAAGACAGGATAAATAGAAGGGGTGGAATGTAAGTCAAGTTTGTGAGAACATATACTGAGGGAGAAAGGGAAAGGGTGAAGACCATAGGTAAAGGCCAGGTGATGTTACCATACCAATGGTAATGATGTTCTCACCACTATCAATAATGTTGTACTTAATTTTTACAAATAAATTCACACTCACCAACTAGTTCTATTGCCTCCAAACCAGACGTAGAGTAGTTTTATGAAGGGTTGTAAGTAGGAAAGAGTTTCCTCTAGCAAATTTAGATATTTCCCAAATCCCACTTCATCATAAATTCCAAGATTATTTCAAAAATATTTGAAGACATATTCCCAAAAAGACCTATACTAAAAGATTCCCCAATTCTGTACTAACTCTATCTTTTGGTCTATTTTTATGTAATTATTTCTTACTCTTTTTGGTTCTCATTCAGACTTGGAGAAAGTATAGCAGCAAACAATGCCTATAGACAACAGGAAACAGAACATATGCCCAGAAGAATGCCTTTGCAATCATTAAATCACAGTTTTCCAACATCAGTAAAATGTTCAACTCCTCCAGTTTTGAAAGATAAAATTCCTGGATTGAACATTGAGGACTTAATAGAGAAACTTCAGTCTGGAGTGGTGGTGAGTGATAAACAGCATTATAACTGGGATTCTGCTTGCTACATATCAATGAATAGCAGCCCCGATTATAACAACTTTAGATGCAGATTTGATTGATGAAACTGTTTAATATAAAAAGTATCAATATTCTGGAAATTTGGGAAATAAGAAAAAATCAGCCATAAGAATCCTGTATTTTAACACAGCTGTCATATATCCCTACTGTTTCCCAGCCAGCCCACCCTTCCCACATCCTCAGATTAAGAAATATGTTTTAAATTCCCACAAGCATTCTAAATTTTACCCAGATATTCTTAGACAATAGCCAGGTTAGTGAAATGTTTTGTGAATTGCCTGATATAACATTCTTTTTTTTTTTTTTTAACTTGTTACTTATTAAGTTTTAATGATTCCGTTTTTTAGTAGGCATTTTTTTTTAATTTTGTCAGATGTTAAAATTTTCTGATTTTTGATTCAATTGTATTAAAATTTAGGTAAAGGATCAGATTAATGATGTGAGACTATCTGACATAATAGATGTATATGAGATGAAACTGTCTACATTAGCTGTGAGTACAATCTTATTTTAACTACGTGTAACAATTAAGCTTTAATGGATGTATTCCAGTAAATGATGAAGATGAATGCCATTGTTTTTTTATAGTCCAAAGACAGCAGGCTACAAGATCTCTTGGAAGCAAAAGCTCTAGCCCTTGCACAGGCTGATAGACTGATTGCTCAATATCGCTGTCAAAGAACTCAAGCTGAGACAGAGGTGTGTATAATATAAAGACTCATCAGATGAGTAGAAAAGTAAATGAAGTAAAACATGTACAAAATATTAGTTATATCTTTGTTGTTCTGAATGAAATAAATTGTCCTTAGCATTTCACATAACTATTCCGTCTTGAAACCCTTTTACCTTTAATTTTGATTACACCAGTATCTTCTGATTTTCTTTCTAATTAATGGATATATTTTTTAAAAATCTTCACCCAAGGTTATTTTGCCATTGCTCTTTAGAGAGAATGGGAGAGAGGGACAGGGAGAGAGAGAGGAAATGCAAGAGAGAGAGAAAGAAAACATCAATGTGTGAGAGACATCTTGATTAGTTGCCTCCTGCACATGTGGCCAACCGGGGGCCAGGATCAAACCTGCAACTCAGGTACATACCCTCAACTGGGAATAGAACCTGCAGCCCTTCAGTGTGAGGACCAACACTCTAACCACTGAGCCATATAGACCTAGGCTGGATATTTCTTTTTTTATTATTACTTTTTAATTACAGTTGACATACAATATTATATTAGTTTCAAACGTACAACATAGTAATTAGACATTTATATACCCTACAAGATGGGTAACCTGATGAGTCTAGTACCCATCTAATACCATACATAGTTATGATATTATTAACTACTAGAGGCCCGGTGCATGAAATTTGTGAAGTCGGGGGTCCCTCAGCCCAGCCTACACCCTCTCGCAGTTCAGGAGCCCTCAGGGGATGTCCGACTGTCATGGAGGTGGGAGAGGCTCCTGCACCACCACCCCATTCACCAACCATGAGCCCAGCTTCTGGCACACTGACTGACCACCAGGGGGCAGCTCCTGCACTGAGCATCTGCCCCCTGGTGGTCAGTGTGCATTATAGCGACCCGTCATTTTGTATATTAGCCTTTTGTTATATAGGATATTACCTATTCTGTACTTTATACACCTGTGACTATTTTTATAGCCGCCAATTTCTACTTAATTCCTTCAACTCCCCTCCCATATGGCAACCATCAGTTCTCTGTATTTTTGAATTTGCTTCTGTTTTGTTTGTTTTTTCTATATCCTTTATGAGACCCTAAATGTTGAGTTTTCTAAGCCCTTTGCCCTCCTTTTTTAATTTAGGTATAGTTGGCATACAATGTTATTTTAGTTTCAGGTATACAATACAGTGATTCAATATTTATAAACCTTATGATGTGATCACTACACTAAGTCTAGTAACCATCTGTCACCATGCAAAGTAACACAAATCAAAACCAGAATGAGATACATCAAAAAGTCAGCAAATGACAAGTGTTATCAAGAATGTGGAAGAAAGGGAGCACTCATGTACTGTTGGCGGAAGTGTAAATTGGTGCAGCCATTATTCAAAAACAGTTTGGAGCTCTGGCCAGTGTGGCTCATTTGGTTAGAGTATCATCCATACTCATAAAGGTTCTGGGTTTGATTGCCAGTCAGGGCACATACCTACATTGCGGGTTCAATCCCCGATTGGGACACTGAATCAATGTCTCTCTCTCTCTCTTCTTTTCTCTCTAAAATCACTAAAAAACATGTCTTCGGGTGAGGATAAACAAATATACAATATGGAAATTCTTCAAAAACCTGAAAATAGAACAACCATATGACCCAGCAATTCTATTGTTTGATATTTTCCTTTTCCCCTTTTTAGGTGTTCCATGGTTTCAACCTATACCAGAATGCCTATGCCCCCAAATGTATATGTAGTGTCCTTTTTCTTTTCTTTTTTTTTAAAAAATATTTTATTGATTTTTTTACAGAGAGGAAAGGAAAGGATAGAGAGTTAGAAGCATCTATGAGAGGGAAACCTCAATCAGCTGCCTACTGCACACCCCCTACTGGGGATGTGCCCGCAACCAAGGTACATGCCTTTGACCGGAATCAAACATGGGACCCTTCAGTCCGCAGGCTGACGCTCTATCCACTGAGCCAAACCTGTCAGGGCTAGTGTCCTTTTTCTTATGTACTAAATGTCTCCTTGTATTAGCTCCATTTAAATATGTATCAAATACTGCAAGTCAGCATAACCAATACTCAAGTCATCACTCTCCCTTTTTAAAATGTGTTCTTTTGTTCTGGCCAGGAGGCTCAGTCAGAGCATTGTCCTGTATACCAAAAGTTTGTAGGTTTGATTCCCAGTTAGGGCACATTCCTGGTCAACGTGCTACGAGAGGCAATTGGTCGATGTTTCTCTCTGACATAGATATTTCTCTCTCTAAAAATGAATTTCTTATATATTCATTCCTCTAGTATTCTTACAGTTTTGCAAACAAGAAAAATGGAAATCACAATTTACCTTCTGGAATTAGTCATTTACCACTTCCAGTTGATATTGCTTAAATATTACTTTTTTCTGTCTTTTGTCTGTGTTCTTCCCACTATTTGCCACGAACCTTTTCATGTTTCATATGAATCACAACAGAGTGTCTAATTAGGCTTCTTACCTTCAGTCTACTCTCTTTTCAGCCATCTACTACTTACAGCAGAATTCATCTTCCTTTTATATTTGATTCTACCATCCATTCTTCCCCCACAGTGATCCCTGAGGGTATAATCTGATTCCATCACTCCTGTGCTGAACATACTATAGTGCAAGCATGTCAAACTCAAAGGCTAACACAGGACAAATAAACAAGGTTTAAGTTTATGTGGGCCGCAAAACAAAAAGCTTCAATTTTCATAGAAACGTAGGTTTATTTCAATAGAGACATGCTAAATACAAAGGGCTGAAATAAATGAGTAATCGTTAACATAAAATAAGAGAACATTTTACAGAGTGGAAGGAAGAGGGATAGAGAATGAGAAACATCAAAGAGAGAGAAACCTCAATCAGCTGCCTCCTGCACACCCCCTACTGGGGATGTGCCCACAACCAAGGTATATGCCCTTGACCGGAAACGAACCTGGGACCCTTCAGTCCGCAGGCTAATGCTCTATCCACTGAGCCAAACCAGTTAGGGCAAAATAAGAGAACATTTTAATAAAAATTACATTTTTCTTGAACATTAACTTACTAGACACTGAATAACTGTACAAATTAGTAAGTGTAACGCAAATAAGCCTATTTTTCTTGTTCTCTGAAAGCAAAGTATTTCCTGTTGCACACACCAGACAAGTTAGTATAATATTAATGACGTGGCAATCAGCTGCTGAAATATTTGCAGCTAGTATTAGTGGAGAAAAATGGTGCACCTGCACATAAAGCACATAAGGGAAATGAATGCAACACTATTATAGTAATCAGTCTTTAGCAAATGTTGTTGTTCATTATTAATAATTATGTATAACAGGATAGTGTAAAAATCAAGTTATGAAATGTTTATTAAGATGTTTCTTACATACTATTATATTGGCTGGGTTGCAAAAATATTCATTGTGGGCCGCGAGTTTGACATGCTTGCTTTAGTGGATTACCTTTGGCTCAGAGAGCATTTAAATCCCTTAGTTTGTCATGTTAGGATTCTAACCACTTCTCACTGCACACCTTGCATTTCTGTGCATTCTCTGCAGTCAGCCATATTAGATTACTTTGCTGTTTCTGGAGCTTGACAGTCTTAGGTTTCCCTGACCTTGCACTTGCTCTTCCACGTCTAGAACACCATTTCCTCTCTAACTCTTAGTAATCCTTCAGACTTTAGTTTAAATATCTCCGTTTCCCAGGAAGCTACTCTGGTCTTCTTCCTACACATGTTTAGTGATCCTTCCTCTATACATCTCACACTACGTGAAAATTATATGACCTCATCGCTACCCTTAATGTCAGAGACTGTTTCTGTATCTAATGGGCCCTACCACAGTACTTGGCACTTAGTAGGTACTGAGGAAGTTTGGCATTGTGTTGTGTATGTACATTGACCAGATTTTTATGACCGGCCAGATTATTATGACCACCCCATCAATACAATGAAGTGAATTAATTATGCAAATAATGACAATAAAACCTTGAGAGTATTTGCTTAGGAAGTTTTCAATATTCATTATTTTTGGAAGTGTCAATGAAATACTGATGGGGTGGTCATAATAATCTGGCCAGTCATAATAATCTGGCCACTCAGTGTATATGTAAATAATGAATACATTATGGGTGAGAACTTAGTGCAATAATATGAAAATCTCAGTAGATAGAAATGAAATTTAGATAATGTAATATCACTTGTAATGAATTATAATAAAGTCTTTGATTTTTGAAAGAGGCATTAAAATCAGTGTCAAGTACCATACCTTTTAAATCTTTTTCAAGTAAAGGTATTCTAAAAAATATAAATAAATATAACCATATTTTTTATTACTTATTATGGATTTATTTTTCTTGACTGATGATGGTATATTGAGTTTTTTATAAATTCCAATAAAGAAAATTAGTAATATTAAAATCATTTTTTCTCTCTCTTCTCATAGCACATTCTTATATCCTGTCTGTTGCATGTGACTTGAATTTATTGGAAAATTTAGTGTTTTTCTTATTTTACTGAAAAGGTTTTTTGTGAAAATAACACTAAGTAATTGAGTATTACTGCTTTACAGACTCTGTCCTGAAAGCAGAGAATGGCTTAGGTTTTTATTTGTCACTTCAAAATAAGTAGTATTTTTTTGGACCAAAGAAGGGGGAAAGTATATTTATTATTCTAGTTACTTTTCTGCTTCTTTGATGTTCTTTTTTCTTTAATTTTTTTTGTCACAATTACTTTCACAATGAATCTATGTTGTGCCGCTGATTATGCTAACTTAATTTTTAAATGTTTGCTTAAGCATCTGTAACATGGTTAAGATCATTTTCTCAATTCTTGCCTGAATTGCAAAAACTGAGCTGTGCAAACTTTGTGATTTAGTGTTGTCAACTAGCCCAGGAACTATACCCTTTTCATTGAGTACTGTATGTAGAGCTGCCTTCATCCTATATAATAAAAGGGTAATATGCAAATTGCTCGAACAGCAGAACGACTGGTCACTATGATGTGCACTGACTACCAGGGGGCAGACACTCACTGCAGGAGCTGCCCCCTGGTGGTCAGTGTGCTCCCACAGGGGAAGTGTCGCTCAGCCACAAGCCAGGCTGATGGCTGGCGAGCGCAGTGGCCCACCCCCATGGCAGCGCTAAGGATGTCCAACTGCGGCTTATTCCCACTCCCCGCGGGTAGTGGGTCTAAGCCTCAGTTGTACACCCCTGAGGGCTCCCAGACTGTGAAAGGGCACAGGCCAGGCTGAGGGCTTCCTTGTCTGTCGCACGACTTGAATTTATTGTGCCCCCCTCCCCCCCCAAGTGCACAAATGTCTTGTACCGGGCCTCTGGTATAATTATAATTGTGTTCATTTTCATGAATCTGGTCATACCGAGATTATTTTGTCAGAATTATCTATTAAATAAAAAACTATGGTTGTGTCAGATTTGTTAGAAGTAATTAAATAAAAAATATATATGACTAATCTGTATATAATCCAATAGATGCTAGCCTATTAGATATTTGGTAAATCTTTTAAATTGTAAAAACAGCATGTGCTAGCCTATTAGATATTTGGTAAATCTTTTAAATTGTAAAAACAGCATGTTTAAATAATGATAGTGGAAAAGTCTCTATTCCATTTTCTTGAAGGCGCGGACACTTGCTGGTATGTTGAGAGAAGTTGAAAGAAAAAATGAAGAGCTTGGTGCATTGCTGAAGTCACAGCAGGCTGAATCAGAAAGAGCTCAGAGTGACATAGAGCATCTCTTTCAACATAATAGGAAGTTACAGTCTGTGGCTGAAGAACATGAAATACTCACAAAATCCTACATGGAACTTCTTCAGAGGTAAATTTATAAATGTTTCTGTTTAAGATTAGAATCTATAATGAACACATAGCACTTCTTTCCTGTGGTCCTAAAATCTGTTTATAAACATTTATATCCTATATAATAAAAGTCTGATATGCTAAGTGTCCGGTCATCTGGTGACTGGTCAACTGTTCAACCAATCAAAGCATAATATGCTAATGATATGCTAAGGCCACTCAACCACTCATTATGATGTGCATTGACCACCAGGGGGCAGACAGTCGGCCAGTTGCTATGATGTGCACTGACCAACTGGGAGCAGACGCTCCAACCGGTAGGTTAGCTTGCTGCTGGGGTCCTGCCGATCGGGACCGAGCGATATGGGCCAGACATGCCCTGGAGCTCTCCTGCGGTCCCTCGCTGGCTCTGATTGTGCACCGGTGGGGTCCCTCGGCCTGGCCTGTGCCCTCTCACAATCCGGGACCCCTTGGGGGATGTCAGAGAGCCGGTTTCGGCCCGACCCTGCAGGCCACTTCCCTCAAGAGGGTGCCAAACGCAGGGCTCACTGATGGAGAGTGCTGTTGTGACAGCGTGAGCCTCTCCCGATTGGGACTGATTGGGCGTGAGCCCAGGGCAGGTGCAGTGGGGCCAGGATGAGCAGGAGCGGCAGGTAGGAGCTGCAGGCAGCGTTGGGCTGCAGGTTTTGGCCTGATCCTCACAGGCCATCCTAAGGGACACCACCCATGCACGAATTCATGCACCAGGCCTTTAGTATTCTAATAATACCATGAGGTAAGTAGTTAGCAAGAAACTTAGTGAAATGAAATATTGCTTAATCATACTCGGTATTAAAGTTGGAAACAATACGGGTCTCTTTATTTCTTTCCAGTTGACTCCACTTCTTTTCATTTGTTCAACAGTCATTTGGGATGTTAGCACTGCAAGGACAAGTTTTGTCTATTTTGTTCGCTGAGAGATCCCTAGGGCCTAGAATAGAGCTTGGTACATAGACACTCTAAGTAATTGTTGAATGACCTAAGTTGTCACAATTTATATTATTTTTAACCATATAAATTGGTCATTTGTACAGTGCAAAAGTGGTTGAATATTAACACTTTCGTGTCATTTAGCCTAATAGAATGGAAATCTGGGTGTTCATGTTTAACTTATCTGTAAATTCTTATTCAGTATTTATGCTTGATGCCATTGAATACAGTTTACTTATATGTTACTATATCTGTATAATACATTCTTAAGGTGAGTTGCTGGGTTAAAGGGTATGTGTTTTTAAATTTTTGATATATTACCAAGTGTCCCTCCAAGAAGACTATACCAATTTATACACCCACTAACAAACTATAAGATTGTTTTTCCCTCCCTCCCTTGTAAAGCTTTTTTGTTTATTAGGCCAGTCTTAAATCTTTTGAATTATAAGGAAGACCAAGAGCACTATATATTTTCTACTAAACAATACAAATAAAAACACTGATTAACTTGTTCCTTGTTTTACTATATATTTCAAGATTGGTTAAAATTTGAAAATTTTCTAGTGTTCTGTGCTGCTAATCTATACTAATAAAAGGGTAATATGCTAATTAGATTGGGAGACCTTCTGGACAAAGCCATGGTGGTGGGGCCGAGGCAGAGGCAGTTAGGTGCGATCAGGCCTGGAGGCGAGGGCAGTTGGGGGTGAGCAGGCCAGCGGGGGTCCAAGTTGGGGGGCGAGCAGGCTGGCAGGGGGAGCAGTTGGGGGTAAGCAGGCTGGCGGGGCGGAGGCAGTTGGGGGCAATCAGGCTGGCAGGCAGAGTGATTAGGGGCAATCAGGCAGGCAGGCTGGTGAGCGATTAGGAGCCAGCAGTCCCGGATTGTGAGGGATCCCAGATTGGAGAGGATGCAGGCCGGGCTGAGGGACACCCCCCTACCCCCCACCAATGCATGAATTTCATGCACCAGGCCACTAGTCTATAATAAAAGCATAATATGCTAATTAGATTGGACGTCCTTCTGGATGACCTTCCGGACGTAGCCGGTGCTGTGAGGGAAGCCTGGGTCCCGGGTGCCTGCCGGTAGCCAAAGGAAAGCCCGGTGCCTGCCAGCAGCCTGGGGAAGGAAGGCCTATTCTTGCATGAATTTCTTGCATCGGGCCTCTAGTAAAGAGATAAAGAAAATGATTAACTTTGGCAAGATCCATCAATAAAAATGAAGGGTGGGAATGTGTAACATCTGGAAAATGTGTGATGACAAGGTGACTTCTAAACAAAATATTTTCCCCCAATGACAGCTTTTTCCAAAGTCTGATTTAGGCACTGATAAAGTGAACTATTAGTGTTAAGTCAGGTATAAGAGAAAGTAAGCAATTGATCCATGAGAAATAGTGATTTCTAGGACTTGCTGGTATTCCAAATAGTGATTGAGGAGCCAAGAGGTAAAACACCTGCCTTCAGGGTCCAGGTGAGTAATAAGTAAATAAATCTGGCTGAGGAAAACTCATATGTAATATTAGGGAATTAAAATTTAGATTTTTATAAATTCTTTGTAGGACAGATAAAACACTTCTGCTGGCCAAATTTGGTGAGTGTGTCAGTCAGTTTGTTTATCTTAGTACTTAATAAAGTGAAAAGGACATTTTATGTTTAAGTTAGCCTGAAAGAAAAGACCAGTATTTATTTGAGATCACTGATTCAGACAGAAACCCAAATAGTGTTCGAATTAGGGAGTGAAGGAAAGGGGTCTTTACAAGAAAAAGAAGGAAAATAATTACATAAACAAAAGGAAGAAATTTCTATAGGTGCAAATAAGCTAAATTATTGTTTAGCTATACATGGTGGTGCTAATTCTAAAGAATATCTTTATAGTTTGGTAGTCAGAATGTCTCCTTTCTTGTTAGCTTTGCACACAGTTACTTGAAATACAGTGCTCGTTTGACCCAATCCTAACATTATTTTTCCCAGTTCAAATATTTCAAAGTTTTGAGGATCAAGACATGCCAGGCAATTCCTCTGGAATGGCTGCCCTAGCTCTATTAAAAATGGTTCCACTTATGTCAGCTTTTCACACTTAAGATAGTTAAGGTGTCAAAGTATCACTTCTCTCTGTGTTTACCTTGCAGGTAAAATAAGCAGGACTATTAGATGCAGAGCTTTATTTTATTTTTTTTAAACATCTCTGAATTTCTTTTTTTTTTTTTTTTTTAATATATTTCATTGATTTTTCTACAGAGAGGAAGGGAGAGAGATAGAGAGTTAGAAACATCGATGAGAGAGAAACATCCATCAGCTGCCTCCTGCACATCTCCCACTGGGGATGTGCCCGCAACCCAGGTACATGCCCCCGACCGGAATCGAACCTGGGACCTCTCAGTCCGCAGGCTGACGCTCTATCCACTGAGCCAAACCGGCCTCGGCGAATTTCTTTTTTTTTAATATATTTTATTGATTTTCTACAGAGAGAAAGGGAGAGGGACAGAGAGTTAGAAACATCAATGAGAGAGAAACATTGATCAGCTGCCTCGTATACAACTCCCATTGGGGATGTGCCCGTAACCAAGGTACATGCCCTTGACCAGACTCGAACCTGGGACCTTTCAGTCTGCAGGCCGACGCTGTATATTCACTGAGCCAAACCGGTTAGGGCAGTGATGGCAAACCTATGACACGCGTGTCAGAGGTGACACGCGAACTCATTTTTTTGGTTGATTTTTCTTTGTTAAACGGCATTTAAATATATAAAATAAATATCAAAAATATAAGTCTTTGTTTTACTATGGTTGCTAATATCAAAAAATTTCTATATGTGACACGGCACCAGAGTTAAGTTAGGGTTTTTCAAAATGCTGACACGCCGAGCTCAAAAGGTTCGCCATCACTGGGTTAGGGCATAGATGCAGAGCTTTAAAGAGACAAGAGAAATTTAGAATCTTCAACTACTTTATTCATTAATTTGACATTTTTAATTAAACATGTAATATGCCCAACAGGCTAACAGTGATAGACTTTTACAGAAGTTGTTTCACTTTCTGGATATAACTATAAAGATAGCTGTATGAATCTTATAGGATTTTATGTAATGCAGTAACATCTATAAAATAAAGCTCTATATTTATAAATATGAGGTTAATGCCCCACACATTTCCATTTCACAGTAATTTTTACCACCTCAGTCAGCCAAAGCACATCTTTACTGTCTTTTACTAGAGTTAATCCAACTCTGTTTATGTCCTGCTTACTCATAACATGCCTCCTCTCACCTGTAGTGTATATAGAATTTTGTTAGAAGAAAAAATAAACAACTGAGTTTCTTTTCTTTATTACATGTTTTCTTCCATAAAAATATCACTCATCTCATTTTCTTTTCAGGAATGAAACTACTGAAAAGAAGAATAAAGAGTTGCAGATCACATGTGATTCTCTGAAGAAACAAATTGAGACAGTGAAAAAGCTGAATGAGTCACTCAAGCAACAAAATGAAAAGTAAAAATCTTTAGTTCTTCTAATTATTTTGTAATTTTCAAAAACATACACAACATTGTTTTTTGTAGATAAATTAATAGAATCTTAACTTATTTTAGATATAAAACATGTATGGCAGAATTTAAGGGTAATTGCTGTTAAGAATTTTCTCTTAAACTACTTGAGAAAAAGAAATGATAGTGGTTCATTGATGATTTCTTCTATTTTTTTTTTTATAACTTCAGAACTGTTGCCCAATTAATAGAAATAGAAGAACAGAGAAAAGAAGTACAGAACCAACTAGTAGACAGAGAATGTAAACTAGCAAGTAAGTAGCTTTTTATGTAACAAATTGTATGTATGTTAACATTTTTTGTTGGAAAATAATCAAAACATGAGGGGTTTTTATTTTGGTTTTTCATTAGTTTCTACATCCTTCATTTTTCAAAATCTTAAATCACATCCTAAACAGCTCTCCTTTTATTTCCATAATATTTCTTGCAATTTAGTTAAATTGATTTTTAAAACTGGAAATTACAGGAAATAACAGCAGGTGGCAGTGCTTGGTAACTTTTAGTTACTAGTTTCTTAATGATATCTCTGAAGTGATCCACAAAAACAGTTTTATACTAACTCACTTGTCTTAGAGCACAAACATCATCTACCTATATAATTTTTCATAGTTTTCTTTCTCCTTTTCTCTTCTAACCCTTAAGCTCTGAGGATTGTCCTTCCCTCATTACTATATTATATTATCTTTAGAACAGAGGAAGAGGTAAAGACATGGAGATTTGGTATTTTTTTGTATAATACTGATACAGAGGAAGAGTTACTTGGTATTTTCTATTTGTCAAATACTGTAAAACTTTATTTCCAGCAAGGTATTTCTTTGTCTTTCTAGTTGCCTTTTTTTGTTGTTCTTATGACATAATAGCTATGAAAGCTTTTCAAGGTAAGTCAGTATAGCTGACTCTTTGTTTGTTTTAAGACTTGCAACAAAAGACAAAAGTACAAGAAGAAAAAATTAAAGTCTTACAAAAAGAAAGGGAAGATAAGGAAGAAACCATTGATATCCTTAGAAAAGAAGTAAGCAGATCAGAACATATAAGAAAAGAATTGAGCATTAAGGTAAGAATCTGTTAAGTTTTCCTTTGCACTAAAATGAAAAAGTCTTAATTTGTGAAAAGTGAATTTAGATAAATTAATATTCTGTTTCTTGAGTATAGTTTTGTTTTGAAGATAGTAGGATCTTAAAATGGCTTGACAATTGTTTATTATGAAAACTCTCTCACAATGTGAAAACGTGTATTTCCTAAAATAATCACACATTTGTTAAATATATACTGTTTGCCAGCACTTAACTGCTGTTAAGCAGGCAAGGAATACAGAAAAGGGTTCCCAGTCCTTTCCATCACATATGGTAGCTGTGTATAGGAACATAGCCGCCTCTTTCTGCTTATAGAGATGGTAATAATAACAGTAGTTCACATTTGTTTAGAACATTATAATTTGCAAAGGACTCTTTGAAACATTTGTCTTAATCCTCCTCACTTTCACAAACATTAATATATAAATTAATAATTACTTTCAACCTACGAATGAAACTGAGTCTTGGGTTAAGTTATAAACTCAAGGACAGTCACATAGCTAATAGTAAACATATATTCTGAATTTAAGTCCATTGCTGTTTCTCCATTATGATTGCTTAGTGTGGTAGCTATGAACAGTGCTTTCTGGTCCATCTATGACTAGGAAGATGAGAACAAACCAGCATTAAAAGACTGTTTGAACAACTAAGAGCATAAGTGACATAAGAGACTTAAGCATAAGATCCCATGCTACATTTACAGATTTCCTGGTTCTGCTTTAATGTGGTTATTTTAATAGTAATTCTAAATAGTAATATGTACTATTTTCTGAAAACTTTCAGTTGCTAGCATTGACTTAAAAAGACAAATTGAATGTGTCTTCCCAACTTATTTTGTATTGTTTAATGATTACTTACCTTAAAATAACCATATAATTTAGTTGACTAAAATATGTGTGTGTGTGTGTGTGTGTGTGTGTATATATATATATATATATATATATATATATATATATATATATATAATGTGTCAATTGAAATGGTTGTTTTACAAATGAAAAATAAGAATATCTTAAAATATCTGTGAAGAGAAAAATGCAAAATTGTTTTTCTTTCTCTCCCTCCCACCTCCCAATTTCTTAGGCTTCCTCACTGGAGGTTCAGAAGTCCCAATTAGAAGGTCGTTTGGAAGAGAAAGAGTCACAAGTAAAACTTCAGCAAGAGGAGTTGAACAAACACTCTCATATGATAGCAATGATCCACAGTTTAAGTGGTGGAAAAATAAATCCAGAAACTGTGAATCTCAGTTTATAGACATTATGTATTTATCTCCTGGTGGACATGGGGTGGAGGAGATAATTTCTGACTCCACCAAAAAAATAGCACATTATTAGCTAATTATTAATTTAGTAAAGAAACTGAACTGATACATGGTTTTATTTGGTCTTAAAGTTTTACTTCCTATTTTTTACTTTTATTGTGTAGTTTTCTTTGATTCCTAAATTAGAATATTATTCTTGACCTCCATTATTGTCTTTTCTAAGATTTTTCTCCTTTTGTTGCTTCCCACTCTCTTCTCCTTGTTTAATTTAGTCTTATTTGTGATTATGTAGATTTTAAAAATCAAACTTGCTTGATATAACAATCCTAAAGATTAATAAATTGAAAATGTGATTAGTAAAAAGAGAAAAGGCATGATACAGCCAGAGAACTCTTTCTCTAAAGTAACACAAGAGAAAATATCAGTGAATTTAATATAATTTTATTACTACATTTAAAGTGCACAGATAGCCTTAACTGGTTTGGTTCCATGGATGGAGCATCAGCATGCAGGTTCGATTTCAGTCAAGAGTACACGTTTGGGTTGTGGGCTTGATCCCCAATAGGGGGCATGCAGGAGGCAGCCGATCAATGATTCTCATCATTGATGTTTCTATCTCTCCCTCTTCTTTACTACCTGAAATCAATAAAACATATATCTTTAAAAATTAAAAAATAAAGTGCACTAAGATATATGGTATAAGTTCTAAATTTAAAAAAAAATTCAATGAATATAAAAGAAATAATGTATAAAAATTAGAAAGTAGCTGATGTGTAAAAATGACTGTCATTTGTCACATATAAAACTAATACCTTGCAGAATTATTTATGAAATAGCTTTAGTCTTACTCTTTAAAATGTTGTATGTTGGCCCACCCATCTCATTTCAATCAATTATGAATTTAAGATTTATGTTGTATAACTTGGATTCTATTCTTGCTACATATTCAGAAATTTATTTGTTGTTAGTTCTGATGTGAATTTTAAAGTGTAAGTTAAATATTCTTCATGTTTCTCTTTAACACAAAGGAATTTTTCAGTACTCTTCATTTGAATCAAATGTTATAAATAGTGTTTAAGAAGAGACTTTATATCAATATTTTGGTTGAATTTATTGCTACATTCATAGCTATTAATTTTACTTGCTTTTTTCACTATTTATGTCTATTTAACTTAGGTAAACTTAATTTACTTTTCTATTTTTCAATTATAGTATATCTGAATTTATGTTTAGAAAGTAAACATTTTTGTAATTTGTTAATTATATTAAACCAGTATCCCGGTGATGGATTCATGCACATTGAAAAAGGAAATTAATTAGAAGAAATATTTTAATATCACTATTTGTGTCTTGCTAATGAAAAGAAAATAGGATTCTACCGAGTCTCCTATCTACTTACTCCAGGAATTCTGTGAGGATCAAATGAGATGAGGCATGGGAAAACATTTCACAAACATTTGGTTAAACTGTAAAATGTTTGCACCTGGCTATAAAGCAAGTTAGGTTCCTGGGCTGAAAAAACTCCAAGGATGCTAGTTGCTAGGGTGAGGAAGCCGGGCGTTGCTACGTCACGTCATTACCTGGCACCCACAGCCACCATTTCTGGACTAGGGTGGGCCATGGGCTGCATTTTGCGCCATGGGGTCTTGGCAGCATTGGCTGCAATTTGGTGGGGTCTCACTCAGGGTGGTGGCGGGGCCTGTGTGTCCCACTTGGGGGAAGCCAAGTGTTGGTTTGGTGGCACCAGGTCTGTGGTGCCGTTTATTTTTAAATGGCCTGTCGCTAGGAAGAAGAAGGCAGGCGTTGCTTCATGACATCATTACCCAGTGCCCACAGTGACCGTTTCCAGGCTGGGCTAGTCTGTGGGCTGCATTTTGCACCATGGGGTCTTGGCAGCATTGGTTGCAATTTGTTGGGGTGTCACTCCAGGGTGGTGGCAGTGCCTGGGTTCCACCTAGGGGAAGCCAGGTGTTACTTGTTGGCGCCAGGTTCACAGTGCCATTTATTTGTAAATGGCCAGTGCGTGTCACAGCAGCTCCTGCATTGAGTGTCTGCCCCCTGGTGGACAGTGCATGTCATAGCTACTGGTCGGATGGATACTTAGCCTTTTATATCTATACTAGAGGCCTGTTGCACAAAAAGATTTGTGCAATAGGCCTTCCCTTCCCCTGGCTGCCAGCACTGGTTTTCCTCTGGCACCCGGGACCAAGGCCTTCGCTCCAGCCGGAGCCGCCTTCAAGCCTTTGCTGCCCCACCCGGCCACCCCGGGTCGGGTTGCACACGGGACACCCGACCCCCGGGTCGTAGATAGCAGGCCCAGATGGCGGCAGGGAAGGCGGGATGGCGCTGTCCCGCCCTGCCTGCAGTATGCAAATTAGCCGCCATCTTTGTTGGCAGTTAATTTGCATATCACGCTGCTTAGCCAATGGGAGGTGTAGCAAAGTTATGGTCAATTACCATGTTTGTCTATTATTAGATAGGACTAGAGGCCTGGCACACAAAAATTTGTGCACTCGGGAGGGGGGGTTATCCCTCAGCCTGGCCTGTGCCCTCTCGCAGTCTGGGACCCCTCAGGGAATGACCACCTGCTGGCTTAGGCCCACTCCCCGGGGGATTGGGCCTAAGCTGGCAATCGGACATCCCTCTGGCAGCCCAGGAGCCCTCAGGGGATGTCCACTTGCCAGCAGGGAGCAGGCCTAAGCTGCAGTTGGACATCACTAGTGCTGCTGAGGAGGCCGGAGAATCTCCCACCACCACTGCTGTACTGATAGCCGTCAGCCTGGCTTGTGGCTGAGCAGAGCTCCCCCTGTGGGAGCACACTGACCACCAGGGGGCAGCTCCTGCATTGAATGTCTGCCCCCGGTGGTCAGTGTGTATCATAGTAACCAGTCATTCCCAGTCTTTCTGCTGTTAGGGTCAGTTTGCATATTACCCTTTTATTATATAGGACTAGAGGCCCGGTGCACAAAAATTTGTGCACTCGGGGGGAGGGGGGTCCCTCAGACCGGCCTGTGCCCTCTTGTAGTCTGGGACCCCTCGGGAGATAACGACCTGCTGGCTTAGGCCTGCTCTCGGGTGATGAGGAAGCTGGGGTGACAGGTCACACTGTCCCCGGAAGCCTGGGTCAAACACTGGAGGGCCGGTTGGGGCCATGACTGGTGGTAAATTGCAACCAGCCCGGATCTCCCCCAAGAGGGCCAGTTGGGGGCGTGACTTCTGGCCACCACTGTGGTTGCTGCACCAGCCCTGCCTGTTGGGCGGGAGAGTGTGTTGGGGGCGTGACTGCGGGCGGACGCCCCAGCCGCCCTGCCAGCCCGCGTCCAGGTCTGCCGGCGGGATCGGGTCCTGGGCGACCACCAGCACTCACGCCTCCAACCCGCTCTCGCGGATTGGGGGCGTGACTGCGGGCAGACGCCACAGCTGCCCCGCCTGCCTGAGTCCGGGTCTGCCGGCGGGATTGGGTCCTGGTTGGGGGCGTGAGTGCCGGCGGACGCCGCAGCCGCCCCACCGGCCCGCGTCCGAGTCTGCCGGCGGGATCGGGTCCGGGTTGGGGGCATGAGTGGGGGCGGATGCCACAGCCGCCCTGCTGGCCCGCGTCCGGGTCTGCCGACGGGATCGGGTCCCAGGCAACCACTGGCACTCACACCCCCAACCTGCTCTCTAATGGCGCTGTACCATCCTGCCTGCAGTATGCAAATTAGCCGCCATCTTTGTTGGCAGTTAATTTGCATATCACCGTGATTAGCCAATGGAAAGGGTAGTGGTCGTATGCCAATTACCATGTTTCTCTTTTATTAGTGTAGATAGAGGCCTGGTGCATGGGTGGAGGCTGGCTCGTTTGCCCTGAAGGGTGTCCTGGATCAGAGTGGGGGTCCCGCTGGGGTGCCTGGCCAGCCTGGGTGAGGGGCTGGTGGCTGTTTGCAGGCTGGTCAAGCCCTCCGCAGTGGGGACCCTCACCCCATGGAGGTTTGGTCATCCTGGGTGAGGGGCTGATGGCTGTTTTCAGGATGGCCACACGCCCTTTAGGGTGGGGGGTCCCCGTTGGGTTGCCTGGCCAGTCTGGGTGAGGAACTGAGGGCCATTTTTAGGCTGGCCAAGCCCCCTGGCGACGGAAGCTGCCAGCCTCTCCTTTTTTTCTTTTCTTTTTTTATTCTGGGATTTATTTACCTTCTATAATTGAAATTTTGTTGCCTTCAGTGGCGCTCAGAGCCAGCCGCGGCAGGCAGAAAGCTTGGCTTCCTCCATCACTGGAGCAACCAAGCCTCCTGCTTGCTCCAGCTCCGTAGCCACAGCTGGCTGAAAGCAGGTATCTGGGGTTTATTTATCTTCTATAATTGAAACTTTGTTGCCTTCCGTGGAGCTCAGAGCCGGCTGCGGCAGGCGGGAAGCTTGGCTTCCTCCCTCACTGGAGTAACCAAGCCTGCTTGCTCCAGCTCTGTGACTGCCAGCCGCCATCTTGGTTGGGTTAATTTGCATATAGCCACTCTGATTGGCTGGTGGGTGTGGCTTAAGGTGTAGTGAAGGTATGGTCAATTTGCATGTTTGTAGTTTTTTAGATTAGATCTATATATCTATACATATACATTATATATATATTATATTATATATATATATAATATATATATATCCACACACACATACATACATATACATACACACACTAGAGGCCCAGTGCACGAAATTTGTGCACGGGGGGCAGGGTGTCCCTTAGTGTGGCCTGTGCCCTCTCACAGTCTGGGAGCCCTGGGGGGATGTCCAACTAACAGCTTAGTGGGCCTAAGCCGTCAGTTGGACATCCCTAGCATTGCCATGGAGGCGGGAGAGGCTCCCACCACTGTTGCTGTGTTTGCCAGCTGTGAGCCTGGCTTCTGGCTGAGCGGCTCTCCCCGTGGGACCACACTGACCAGCAGAGGGCAGCTCTTGCGTTGAGTGTCTGCCCCCTGGTGGTCAGCGCACAGCATAATGACCGGTCATTCCAGTCATTTACATATTAGCCTTTCATTATATAGGATACACTGTAGATGAGGCCCCTTCGAACCATAAGAAATGCAAAAAATTCACTATTAACTCATTCTGGAATTGTCCCCACTTAAAATCAAATTGCCCCCCGCCCCCCGTGGGGCGTGTGCTGCACCTTGGGAACCACTGTGCTTGACACTTTTCCTCTCTGAGCTTCATTTCTGCATACGCATAAACCATGGGAATTGTAATCTCCACCTACCTCACTGGGTTGTCATGAGGAGGTTCTGAGCTAATAAACCTAGAAATGTTTCATCAAGTAAGTGATGTCTAAACGGGAAGGGATTGTTATTTTTAAACCCACGGGTACCCTTGCAGGTAGCAGGTGCTGATTAGGGGAGGAGAGCATGATTGTTTCCTGGGACTGTAGCTATGGAAGCTTTGCAGAGGGTTCCACAGGCCTCGGAGTGGGCGGGGGGGTGGGGGGGGCCTCTGGGCAGCAGCCCTATAGCAGTTGTCCTCCCTGGAGGCGCTGGCTAGGAGCGAGGTGGCAAGTCTGAAGGGGGAGT